TCCATGGCTAAGTATTAAGTAACGTTGTATGTCAAGGTTACAAAGTCTTTTCTGTAAATATAGAAGTAATGTTGTATGTAAGTTCCCGCTGATGCTTCATTATTTTAGAAATAATCTATTAGTTAAACTGTCAAAGCATATGATTTATTAATGAGTAAATAATCCGATAAGTCAAAACATAGGTGGGAATTGGAGATTAGTGGCTAACTACTCGGAGTCCAGTTTATTATTCTTTTATGTGAAACTAGCGCCGGCCCGCCCTACGGGCGGAAAGTAAGAAAAAAAATATTGAGAATTTTAAATTGAAAATAATTTTTAAATTGTTTTTATTATTTAAAAAAAAACATATAGTATCTAACTAATAATTTTTTTTTTCATTTTGTAACTATTTTACATCTTTTTAGTATTGGTATTATTGAGAATTACAGTTGAGATCAACATATAAGTTTTTTCTCTTTTGTATATTGTTAATATTTATTTTATTTTATACACTCTTTGAAATCTATATTTTAAATTATGAAAAAAGTAAATTTTACCTATCATTTGTAACCAACTTAAAACATAACACATTACTGTTTAAAGATTTACAAATTCTTATAATTATCTAATAAACCATATCATCCAAAATAATTAGAACTTTTTAAAAGAAATATTTTTATTGTGTTATTTTGTGGGATATTACAAATAAGTGATGAACTTCACATTGTTAGAGATTTTAACTGATTTTTTTTTTTATGGGTGTTCAATAGTAAAATGAAGGTTAAGGTTACTGCATACTATATATGTCTGTGAAGTACTTGCCTTGATGGAGTTGCAAATGTGCTTTTGCAGGCCATAATTTTTTCTGAACTAATTTTCGTGCTTATTCCCCAAATATGTGTTATGTGAAACATTATTTGTTCTAATAGCTGAATGAAAATATTGGTTTTAGCATTTTGCCGATCAGTTCTCTGGTGTGGTGGGCCTAGATAGTTGTGGCGTAACTATGGCTGCCGTTACTCATCTTCTGTAAGTCTAGGAATTGGTAGACACATATCAGTGGTTATTCTGTTTTTCTAATACAAATTTAATTAAAAATGAATGTATTGCGCAGTGTACCTTGTCGTATTTTGGGCAAGCATGACCGAGAGTTGGAGTTTTTAGAGACTGTCCTTCTCAATTGTGTATCAGTATTTGAAAAGATGAGAGGGAGAGGAGTTAGCCTTTTTAGGCAGGTTTTTGCTTAACCATATTTTGAGAAAGGAGAGAATGCGCTGCCAGCATTGGATATGGTTGATGGGAACTTGTACATATAAAAATAGACGGCAGTATTGTATTTATTTATTTTTTTGATCAAAAAACGGCAGTATTGTATATCTTAGCACATTTATTCTATTGTGTGATAATTTTTTTTGAACGACTATTGTGTTACGATTTGTATAAAAATATTTCATGCCATTCATTCTTGTACTTAACTTTTGAATTTTTAGCATATCTTTTCTAGAAAGAACACATCCTTCATGTGCCCAATTGTTTTATCCTTTTTCATGTTAATTGTTCTACAGAGTTTCTGCCATATGCCTATATTATTAAAGCACTTTCAAGTTTTCAATTATTGCACATAACAATAGAAACTTTAATTTATGTTAGCATGTATACATTCACTCCAAGTAGGAAGATAATGTATTATTTGTGTAATACAAATTAGTTAATTCGTCGTACAACTTTCCTCTGAGACTGGGTGGCCCGATGATATATAACAGTTGGTGAGTCTGTTTCAATGGGGGTAACAAACATGGTTTGTAAGAGATTGCAGAAGTTTTCATTGGGATATTAAACATGTTTTTTTGGTTAGTAAAATAATCAAATTTAGCGCCTATGATAATCATAACATGCTAATCAAAACGGTGATGGAATAAAGTGAAGCAAGTTTTTATTGTTTAAATAATTTGCACAAATAATCTTTGAAATCAAGGATTGTAAGTAAAAGGTAGGACTTAATCTTTCTAACTGGATAGGTTCAGTTTTGCGAGGCTTTTTCAGCAAACACTCAAATGCTAGAACCAGTAGCCCCTCAACAGTGCTGCCGCCGCAAGCAGGCTACACATGTGCAGTGGTTGTCTCCAATGGATGTGCTTCTTGATGCGGATCATAATCACTTGCGGTTGGGTTTTCATTTCCAGATATCTTGATTCTGTCAGAGCACACTCATAACATCCATTTTCCTTCATAATACTTGCCTCCTAGAAATAACAGCAAGAGACACAATCAAAAGAAGTTTGCGGTTTTGTCAATGTATTTATATAGATTGTAAAGAACACATATTTGTTATTACCATTCCGCAAGGTCCACAACAAATCAAATGCTCCAACAAAACAAATAAACTTATTTGTAAGACAAATGTACTGAGAAATATACACATACATCTATTTATATAGAGAGAGATGAAGGTTCACCTCTTTTGATTGTCAGTTTTAATCTTTTCAAGCTTATTGGCTTCTGGTAATATCAACTTGATTCTACAAAGCTTGCAGATTTCATGTTCTTCATCACTTATTTTCTCTTCGAGATGTTATATGAAAGTTTGTCTTTGATTCTCGCGAGCCAAAGAAAGCATTCGTTTGGTTATGCTGGAAACACGAATGGGCTATTACCAAACGTTTGACAGGGTTCCTCCGTGAACTCAATAGTTTCTATTATTTATCATGTTGGACAAAAAAAATTAATAACCAAACAAACTAAAAATTGAAGCAATTATTATCATGTTGGAAAAAGAAGTAATAACCAAGCATACCAAAAGTTGAAGCAAATAGCAATATGGACAACATCAACTAAAGAACTTTATGCTAAAATCATAACACTTTAAAGAGATTGATTTTTTTTTTGTTGGCAAAATTACCTTAGCATAGGAGGAGTATGCCGTGCCTCCTTTTACAGTCCTGGAAGAAGAAGAGATGAATATTTAGGAATAAAAATTTAGTAGCAGATTTACAGAGATGAATGAAAGGGAGGATGAGTTAACCTTACCTCTATATAGTTAGTGGTCCACCGCCTTCGAATGGATAGGAATCATTGAATAAATTATCATTGAATGAACGTGGTTGTACTGGTTCGAGGCGTTTCAGCTTCTTAAAGAGAGTAACCAGAACGGCGCAATCAAAGATCACGAAAGAGATACGTCTTGTTGATGTGAGCCAATCGATATCTCAAAACTCCATCGTTTTCGTTTGAGGACCCAGAAGAACTGTTTTGGTGCCAATGAGGGAATATGAATGTTTTCGCGTGATGAACCCTAAAAATGAGAGAAGATGACGGAAACACATTAAACGGAGAGAAGTGTGAATAACTAAAAGGCTTATAACATTAAGTAGAGGCCCAATAAACTAAAACGGAAACACGTTAAACGGAGAGTTTTGGTTCTTGTGCCACGTGTCTCTCTTAGGCTGCACTATTTAGTGACGTGGATGAATAGAAGGGAGGCAAACATTACTTTATATATATAGATTTATGTTCTACACATATGTGCTTTGTAAAGAATACCACGAATCATAGGATAGTTGAATTGATATCAAAAAGTTATACTCCTTCTGTTTCTTATTAATTATCATTTTAGAATTTAAATTTTGCTTTATTTTGAATGTCGTTTTATGTTTTCGATGTATTTTTAACTAGTTTTTTTCAAATTTATCTTTATTCTTTCAATTCATTAATTAAAATAATTAAAGAAATCAATATATTAAATAGAAGTAAACAATAAATTTAATAATTTTTTAATATGTATAACAAAATTAAAAATAACATATAAAGTAAAACGAAAAAAATAATAAATATTAATTTATATAGTTTTAATTGGATGAACTACAGTTTATATGAACCACGAAAAGATTAATCATATTTAATATTAAATATGGAAAAGTTGAATATCATGGACCATAACTTTAACGTATGTCACTGATGCAAGAGCCGTCCTTAAAGCAAATCCACATATTAGATGAAACCTCCCTTCTAATTAATTATTTTAATGAATGATTAGTAGTTAGTAAAAGTGTATGTTAATTTGTAGGAGATTCCACTTGTCATAGTTTTAACATTTAGTCACGATGGTTTAAGACATCAAGCGACTATAATAATTTGCTAACGTTGATGCATAGTCTCACTCAAAGAATAAATTACGTGAAAATGGTATAATAGCATTCGAGCTTTAGCCTTTAGGGTTGGTAAACAATCTGAATTCAAAAGTATTTCACTGCATTTTATCGCGTGTTCACATAATCTATGGATTAATAGCTTTAATCCATTCAAAACAAAAATCAATATAAGGATTGCACCTTTTCTTATGGATTAGGCCGACCCTTTCTGTAAGAGTGCAAGTGTTTGATACTTTAAGATAATCAAAAAATCATTGAATCGTACGTTTTTTCTGTCTATTTTGCAGAGCTTAAGATTATCTGTGTAGAGTAAATCAAACACTGATCTGATCAGTCAATACAACAAAACACTAGACATGACTACTAACTGGCAACTATTTTATCGAAGTATATATAGCTTTTCACAATAAATTATAAACCAACCAGTTAATATATTTACCAATTTACATTCTGTTAATGATCTACAATTATTAAAAAAGTGATCTACAGTTATTAATTTCGTTTTGTTTTAATGTGTAATACTTAATTAACCAACAAAAAAAACGCTATTCTTTTTATTAAAAATGAACATATATCTCTTTTTGGGGCTTAAAAGAGGTGAGGTGAGAAGAAGTTCTGAAAATAGAATAGGAAATCAACTTGTGGTGCCAAACCAGATTTGGAAGACAGACCATCGATCTAATGGAGGTAAGTTTGATATCCACTTTTTGAAATTGTTACATGCAACATCATGAAAACTATTAGACCCAACAGATAAAACTTATTATATATGAAAAAAACAAACTAAAAGAAAAACAAAATATATATAATAAGGGAAACGAAGTCACAAAAACCTCTATAAATAAGGCATTCTTCAATGAACTCAACATCACTTGGAAACTCTCAATTACATAGCATTCTTGGTTACAGCATTTAGATCGTTGATAAACAGTAAACAAAAGATGTCATCCATAGGAGCAAGTTACGCACCTGTACATCTTATGCAGAAGCAGCTCAAGGAGAAGAAGGCAAAGAGAGAAAAGGAGAGGGGAGAAAAAGACCAAAGTCTCGCCGTGGGGACCTCTTTTGCCACCTCCGGTTGGAACTCTAACAAAGTCTTCCCTTCTCGCTCGTCTTGTAATGAACAAGCATCAAATCGTACGAGTAAAACCTAAGGTAATTATTGGACTGGTTCAGACATGTAATTTGTCCTTTGTATATGTAGCATGTACGTATGTATATGGGATGTGTGTTAAACATATCTTGGTCGTGTTTATAGTTTTCATCTGAAGTTACTTGGGTGTTTCCTTGTCGAGTGTTAAGGTTATTGTATGCAAGATTAACTTATTTATAAATAATCTAAAAGTAAGCAACATGTCTAAGATGTAAATGTTATAATCGAAAATCTAAAATCTAATGACATGAGAGTTTTACTTAATGACCTAGGGACAATAGACGAAACTTCATGACACCCTTACTTTTCGAACAAGCAGTTGTATTGTTCAAAGCTCCATAAAAAGGAAAAAAAAGCAAGGAGGTCCAAGCACACTAACCAACTCTGTTCGTTCATCATAAGGCACCAAAGTTTAGTAAAAAAAACATAAAAAGTCTTCCCCTAGAAATACAAAACCAAACTCAAACAAGTCCTCAACTTTGTCCGCAACCTGAGCTAAATTCCTAAGCAACAAGATCACTTGTTATTATTAGCTGCAAGTTTAGCAGCAACTTGGTCCTCTGACAAGGGCAAGTAATATATTCTGGGGATTGCTTTTGTCTTCTTGAAAAGGTCATCCAGAGTGACTATGGGGGGCTCTTGTTCCTCTATAACTAGAGGAGGAGGAGGAAGAAGACGTTCTTTGACTGGAGGTGCTTTGGCCAAAGGCGGTGGCGGTGGCAAAGCAGTTGGAGGTGGCTGCGAAGGAGCCTTATCCTTTGGCTGAGGCTGAGGAGGAGGAGCTTCCAATTTTGCCTTCACTTCCTCTGGCCCAACAAACTCAGCTATCAGAAGGCGACCTCCGTTAGGTGGCCACTGGATGTTATACACTGCTTCTCTTGTTGCTGCAGCTTCTTCAACTGAAGCATACTGCATTCAAACCACACCAACTATCAGTTACGAGAAATTCTATAGACGCTTGAAATCCGAAGAATAAAACAGGGCTCATCATTTTTGTAACCCAAAAGAATTGAAGAAGGGGTCTTACCGATACGTAGCAGTGGGTCTTAATGCTGTCCATCCAGAAACTAGTGACGTTTCCGGTCTTACCCAAAAGCTCTTGAACAGCTTTCAGTGTAAACGGCCTAAGGAAACGATCAATCCTGAGGGAATTGGTAGGCTCCTTTGGGGATGGAGGAACTGCCAACAAATATTGAGCGCACATATTATAAAATGAGTAAGAGATCTAAGCATACATATAGGGATTTGCTAATGGTTTACATACCCACGCGTTCCTTGGGTCCATCCTCACTAACCGAAGAGTCAGATCGGGAGAAGTCACGCTTCAGACCAGCTAACTTCGGTGTTGTAGTGGGTGCCGCACTATTAACGGCCTGTGCTTCAGGAACTTTAATAGTCCCAGAGTTCCAACGGCGTTGCCTTTTTGCAGGCTCATTGTTTCCAACAGCTTCTTGATCTACAATGAGGTACAAGTCAAGATTCATTATATGTAGCTTGGAACTCAAGATGGATGCTTCAAAAGCTACTAAAGATATGCTTCACAAGCCGACACAGACAAATAAACACAGGAAATAAAAGGATTCATGAAAGAAAATGGAAAAGGAGAAAGGCTTACCATTAACAGGAAGCTTTCTTTTGTCAGAAGCCACCAGTGGATGGCTTTTATTATCAGGGGCTTCCCCTTTCTCAGCATTAATAATATCAGCCTTCTCAGGAAGCAAGTCAGTTTTCTCACTCTTATCCACCACTGATTCGGTTTGCTTCGTCTCTGGTTCATCATCCATAGACTCATCACCAGAACTTCTATCTAAATTCAACTTTTCAGAGTCGCCTGCATCGACATTATTATTATTTCCTTTGATCATATCTGCATTAGCAGCATCGCTGTCATCTCCACCTCCAACAGATACCTTGTGCTCAAGTGGCTTCTCGACATCCATTGGATGCGATTCGCCAATGACTGTTGATGGATCTTGGGACTTACTAACACTATGTTCTAATTTGACATTATCAGCAATTTGATTACCCTTTAGTTCTATTTTTGCATTATTTGAGACAGAATCAGTAGAAATACAATCAGATTTTACCTCAAACCCTGTAACGGGGATGACCTCAGATACCTGGTTGTGGGTAGCAGAGTTAGAATCCAGCCCACTAAACGATTCCTTATTCTCCATCTCTGCATCAGATTTCTCAACAATCTGCTCGTCAGAACCCTCTTCGGCAGCTAAACCACCAGTTGCAGTCACATCTACTTCCTGAGGTTCTTGGAGCGTCACATTAACCACTGAACTATCAAGACCAGCTACGTCTCTGACATCAACAGCGTTAACCTCTGGTTTAGAAACCACAGGGGGTGGGGTTGTCTCAATCGCAGCAGATGCTTCAGTTGTTGTTGTCTTAAACTCAGATGGTCCTGGAGTGGTCTCAGTGGTGGATGCCGCTCCAGCTAGGACAAAGGGAGTGGTTTGAATTGGATCTGGTGCAACGTTGCCTCCAGGTACATAAGTAACCTCAGGCTGTTGATTGGCTGCCAAAGAAGCAGCAGCAGCATTGAGCCTTTCAGAGCCATGTTGCTCAGCACGAAGGGCATCATCAAGACGTCTAACCAAATCCAACTTCAAGCCTTGTGTAGTTAATCTCCGTCTTTTAAGCTCTTCCTTCAACTCGGTAACCTTCCACTTGTCAATTGGTCGGTTGTCCAGGATTGGAAAAGGTGATGACGACATCTGACTAAAACAAAAAAAAAGGATCAATCAATAAATAAACAATGCGAGAAATTATAGAAATCAATCTCAGAGGAATAGCAATGCAACCAAACAAATCTATAATTTAAGGGGGGGGGGGGGGAAACCCTTACTTTAACAAAGTGATAAGCTTTCGATATGACTTACAGTGAATTGGTGGCCTGAAACTTGTTGATATGCGTGAACGAACGAACGAAGGGAAAATTGCAAATCCCTAAGAAGAAGGATAATTAGACAATCCGAAAGATTACAAATTTTCCACAGTTTAAAATGCAAATGAGAAGAAACGAATTCAATATCTTAAGCTCAAACCCAGAAAAAGAATGACAAACCTGCTGGAAAAGGAGAGAGAGAGAGAGAGAGAGAGAGGGAAGTGTAGGTAATTCTATAAGAGACGAACAGATAAGGCGTACATTTGGAATGGATTTTTCTAGAAACAAAATTGGAAAGAGGAGGAGGAGGCGAAGAAATGAATGAATTTTCTAGGGTTACTCCTTATTCGTCGTCGGGTGCGTTTGATTTGATTTGATAATGGGGGAAAATAAATAACTCGAGGACCTAAAGTGAAGGGGGAGGGGGGGGGGGTTGTATCATAAATATCACAATTTCCTCTGAAAATGACGAAACGACCCTTGCTTATTAAGTGCTTGAACATACGGCCCCGTTTTTGGCGCTAATTATCCGTCCTTGGTCGTCGTAACACTTGAGATTCGTGAATGCGAAATGTGAATTGAATCGTGTAGCTTCTCTCTCTCTCTCTCTCTGAATTGACAGCTATTGTGATTTTTTGATTCGTTACGGAATGTGATGATCTTTTTTTTTTGGGTTTAGGTCTGTTCTGGAGCTGGCGTTTGTCAACAGAACAAAGAGATTCCCGAGGAATCTGGGAGCTCAGGTGAGTGTATCCATTTACTTACTAGAGGTACCTAGTTTTAGACTTTTCGATTATTTAAGATTGTGTATGTTATGTTTGCTGGAGGTTTCATTTAAGTTCTTCTAGAAAGGCATGTGGTAAAAATGGTGGAGCTAATCCCGTGGTAAAACCAGATGCCTCAAAAGTGTCTGCTCCTCCTGGTACTTCTTCAAAAGTGGTTATAGGAGGCGCTGCTGCGATTGCTGGTAGCTTATCAGACTTTGGCTTTTGGATCATATCAGTACTTTGGGATTGAAAAGGAGAAACCAGTTACTGGAAAACTGGAGGAGTCTCATCATTTGAATGCAGCTCCGGTTGTTGAAGATTCTACTCCAGTTAGCTCTTTATCAATGGGTGGTAAAGCTGGAACCGCTACCTCAAGTGCAGAGTGACATAGAAGATGAACCCGCCCGAGTCTGATCCAACACCTGAACTACGTTTTACTTTTATTCCTTCTAACCAGCAACAGTCACCTCCTCAAGATCACGCTCAGAAAAGCTTGCCTATTCCTTCTGATGATAACTCTACATCTGCAGATTCTATAACTAATCCCCTATAAATTACTTTAGAGGAGGCAGAAAATGTGAGGTTGGAAGCTGTACCAAAACCTGACGACACTACTGCTGTTAACGCCCATTCTAGTGAGGTGGACTCTGCTTCACCAAAAGATCCTACCACTGAAAAGACACCTAAGGTACTCTTTTTTCCTTTAATTGAACTTAAAACACGTAATGAAATTAAGAGGTTACGGAATAAAATGCAGCAGACGAGTGTCTCACGGTTCCCTTGTCTTTTTTTTTTCCCATCAAATTTACACTTATCTCTTTCACTCTAGAGCCTCTTATGAAGCTTTAATTGAAAGATAGATAGACTCCTCTTGCATGATTATTAATTGTTTTTCCTGTATAAACTAACAAAAGGTTGATGAAGATCTCTAATCAGTCCTTCTCTTACTGGCTGGCATTGAGCAGGAATTAGAAAAGCCAGGTTCTCTCCTTCAACAATACAATCTACAAGGCAATGCTACTGAAAGCACTGGATCACCATTAACAGGGGAGCTACTAACTAAAGAAACTGAGGTTTCAAACTCTTGTCTTTCCTGTCTCTGTTCCTTCACTGCTTTGTTCTTATTCATTGTCTGCATGTATATTAACCCGCGCATTGTTTCGTGAATTAGGCTCTTTCTAATACTAACTCAACTGAGGGGCTGAAAGATGGTTACATGACTAAGGATGGAAAGTTAGTAGTTGATGCATTTAGAACAGTCGCATTTAGAAGCCCAAGTTTTTACTGCAAACTTACGAGCCTTGAAGGTTAGTTGTTTAATAGACCAAATATCTCTTAAAATGACTTAATCTCTCTACTGCCCTTGCTTTATCTGTGAGATGTTAACTTATTTACTCCTGCCACTCTTACCCCAGGAAAAGTACGAGAATGAGTTGAGAGATCTTAGGGCACGTGAATTAATGCGTATAGAGGAGGCCACAATATTGGATAAGGTTCTTCTATCTCTCTCCCCCTGTTTGATTAACTCACTTCTAACCTCGGTTTCCATGTTCCTGAGTAGGAAAAAAAACTTACAATCATAATTTACATGCGGCTGTTGCTTTGTCCAGGATTCACTTGCGCTAGAAGATACACTTTCCAAAGGGTTGCCAATCCAAAAAGAGATAAATATGCTTCAGACTTATCTTGCAGAAATACATCAGGACTCTATTTTAGACTTGGTGTTATAATCTCTTCCAGAAGAAGCACGATCCAGTGGAACAGATACAGTACTGCAGCTGAACCAGAAGGTGAGCTTAATTCACAGATCTCAAAGGAGTTAAAGAGAGCTGAACTTATTTCTTACTCTCGTATTTTCAGATTAATACATTGAAAGGAACACTTAGACACTTCAGTCTCATTCCACCTGGTGGCGGAGGAATCTTAGCACATTCAGTAGCACATATAGCATCGTGGTTCAAGGTATGCTATAATGTACTTAAGAAACAAAGGTATGCACTAAAAAACTCTGAAATTGAATTGTTTCCTTTGATATTTTTTTTTTCTTACAGTTCAAGGAAGTGGATCAATCTAACGGAGGCATTGAGTCCGTAATTAGGAAGGTTGATAATTGTTTGGCCGAGGGCAAACTAGCTGAAGCAGCTACTGCATTGGAAGAAGGTGTTAAAGGAAGTAAAGCAGAGGAAATAGTGAATGATTGGGTGAAACGTGCACCCATCACAGAACAAGCGGAAACTCTTCTCCAATCTTATGCAACTTGTGCTAGTCTCACTTGATCATCTGGCGCAGATCTTCCATAAAATAGGGTGAATCCTATCTCTTATATTCGATACTCAAGAGTCCTCAAGTTCATTTTTTGGTCTATGAAACAGTGTCTGATTCTTAGGTCTCATCACTGGTTTGGTGTTTAAAATCACATTTGTTTTTCTTATCTGAGTTAGAATGTTAACAGAAACAGCTGAATGCGCTTAAATTTTGTTATCATTTGAAATGTCATATATTTTGTGAAGAAGTATAGCTTAAGTTAACAGATTAAAAGATTGTTGATGAATTTTAAAGTTGACACGGAATTCACTTTCGGTGAGTGTTTCCTTTTGCATTATTGTTGTGTTCCTAAATACCAAATTAAGAATCTAAGAAAGATAACACACTAAACCAAACGACCACAAAGGTCATGCATGTATCTTTTTTTTTATCCATTTAAGGACATATATAATTGAAACCTTGTCCTGTCCGCATTATAAAGTTCTACATTTTTTTATGCTCAGGTTTGGACTCTGGTTGTTAACAACAAAACCATGACATGGATTTTATATAATTTCTCGATCGGTTGCAGGAAACTTCTTCTCGCCGGTTCCTTTTAAGAGATGCTTAAAGTATGGTTCGTGACAAACAAAAACGTACCGACCGTTGTAGGTTTGCTCGACAACTTCAAAACATTATATACAATTTTGTCAGCTAACATACCTCTAATTATTGGTGTGCAGTAATTTCCATATAATATGACCATTCTCTGTTTTACTTACCGAGAGAAAAGTACATATGTACGTTTCTGTATTTACGGAGGAAATGACAGAACGTTCGAAGCTATATACAAATATTGAATTTAAGAAGCTGAAATATTCCCTCAGCATAATTAACAGATAATCGTATGTGTAATTATATTGTATCTATTATTGAATTGTAATCTAAAATTATAAATACGCTATAACAGTGTAATGTATTAATACTCCAGCGAACCTTAAATACGAAACAGCTAAGTTAAGAAGTTAGGTGGCACAACTCATCCAATCAGAAGACAACCTAACACGCGGATTTAAATCAGTGCCGTCAGATATATGTACGTCAACATAACGAACGCTCAGGATCTCCTCCCCGTACGTGTGAAGCAGTCTCGAAGGAGGCCTCGATGTTCCTCGCTATCACCTTTAATTTTACTAAAATTTTAATTTTCATTGATTCCATTTTAATTTAATAGTGAACCGACTATCATTGTTTAGATAAATTAGTATGAATTCGTTAACAGATGCATGTCTGTCACCTTCTTCCTGCCTTCCTATGAATAACAAAACTTTATAACATTTCTTTAAGTTGTGTTATTACTCCATTATTTAGCTATATTCACATGAACTCCCCCACAAATTTTACCTTGGTATATATATTTCAACAATATGTTACAAACAAAATTTTTTTTTTTGAAACTGAACAATTTAATTTTAAAGCCATTTATTTCGTTCAACTCAGATCTTTACCGGTTAGGTTGATCAAAAAGTAGCATATGAGAGCGTAACCCTTGGTTCCAAACTTTTCTCATCAACTACTATCTTTACCTTAACCACAAGGTCTTTGGCATATATATTGCTTACAGCCTAAGTTCTTAAAGTAACCTTTTTCTATGTATTTATAAAATGGGCCAAAATTTTCTTGATGTTGTGTCAATTTTAAACACAACAAGATATTTTTTTTCCTTCGTACCAACTGCAATAATGTACTCAAAAGTAGTTTATTTTATTAAAAATATCAAAGGGCTATATAAGTCGAGACAACCTAGCTAGCAACTCATTGCAGATTGAAACCAAAACAAATATCCTAAAAACACAACACAGATTTGAGAGACACAGAGGAAGAGAATAATCCATTAGAACAAGCCAAAAATCAGAACAAGAAGATGGGAGTTGGAGGAACATTAGAGTATATATCTGAGCTAATAGGAAGTGGTGGAAGTCATAGCTATGGCAAGAGAAAGAAGAAGAAGCAATTTCAGACAGTGGAGCTCAAAGTTAGAATGGATTGTGATGGTTGTGTCCTCAAGGTCAAAAACTCTCTATCTTCTCTAAAAGGTAAATTAACTACTTTTCTAATCTAAATTAACATTTGGTTATCAAAATTGTTGTTCCATTCCATATGAAAATGTATGTTTCAGTTAAGTTACTTTGTTTTTTGTATTTTCGTCCACGTCTTTTGCCTCTCATGCTAAACTCTATCTAAAACATATACATGTAGCTAGGTGAATGCACAAAGATACATTTATACTTCCGTCTGTTAACATATTAAAAATCTTTTGATATGTATTCTCAGGAGTTAAATCGGTGGAGATAAACAAGAAGCAGCAAAAGGTGACGGTGAGTGGTTACGCGGAACCAAGCAAGGTGCTGAAAAAGGCCAAAACGACGGGGAAAAAGGCTGAGATATGGCCTTACGTTCCGTACAACTTGGTGGCTCAGCCGTACATAGCTCAGGCGTACGACAAGAAGGCGCCGCCTGGTTACGTTAGAAAAGTCGACCCATACGTCACCACGGGGACGATGGCCGTTTACAACGATGACCCTTCTTACACTTCTATGTTTAGTGATGATAATCCTAATGCTTGCTCTATTATGTAATTATTAAATCACTAATAAATGAGGTTTATATCTATATATGTATAAATATTTAGATTTTGGTGTTTTTTGGGTTCAGGATTTTGTCCTTTTTGCATGTGCTTCTTGTTGGTGTTACGAGAATGTTAATTAATTTCAAGAAATGACTATTATATATGGCCTAATCATCTGGACGTAGTGATCATGAATTACTTTTGTTCTTATTGGCATTTGCTTTTGCTTTAGGAAGTTCTCATGCTCTTTTTGGTAGTCTTTTGGGAACTCAAAACTCCAACTCTTTTCAGTTCTCACCGACTCTCTCTTTATAGTATGTAACTAGATGATAGCCCGCGCACATGCGCGGGATGAAATTTTTATACCAATATTTATTCATTAAATAGTTTTTAACATTTTGTAATACTACAATATTTATCGATTATAAAATGATGAATATAAATATTGGTATCTTAAATCATCATAGGTCTGGACGTTTGAGACTTCGTCGGAGTTTTGGTTTGATTGAGACGTATTTTCAGATTTTGGTATTATTTTCATAAATCCTATTTGAATTTTACTAATTATCGGATTGGATTCGATTTGGTCTTCTCAATTCAGATTAGATTGAATTGTAACCAATATCTGAAATCATCCCAAAAAATATTGTTTAAACAATAAAAGTTGGCAAAAAATTCAAAATATTTAAACTATTAATAAATCTAATTTAAAATTAGTTAAATTATCTAAACAAACTAAAAGATATTAAAAAAAAGCAAATAAAACAAACTACAAAAATCTTTCGAATACTATAATTTGTATCTACTAATTTCAAACATTTTCACTGAAATTTTTAAATTAACATATTTATAATATGAATATCTACTAATGATACTTCATATTCGTACGATTTATGATAATTTGTATCTTGTTTGAAAAAAACAAAGTTAAACCATTGATCATAAAATTTTCAATGTGGGATTTTACTATTTTTAGTTATTTATGGTCGTTTTAAAAAATTAAAAATATAACCTATAAGAAAAAATTTAATTTTTTTACTATATACTTAATGTGATTGTTTAATTTATTTTAATAATTTAAAATTAAACAAAAAAGAGAGAGGACACAAAAAAATATGTATTATTCATAATCATTAATTACATATATATGTTAATCATAATAGGTAATTCCGTAGCTTTTATTTAAGGAAAGAAAATATATTGTTTTATACCTAGTAGAATTGGTCCCTTAAAAAATGTCTATATATTATAGTTCTAAATGTAAGAAATTAAATGTTTCATTATTTCATACCTAGCAAAGTTGGTCCATTAAAAAATTAAGGCTGAGAAGCTCTGTGAGCTTGACACGTAAGCATGCTCTCCAAGGTTGTGCATTTATGAATGTTTCAGGATTAATATATAGGGGATTAAAAGAAATTTTCCAAAACAGTGGGTAGTAAAGACCACATAAAGCTAACTCTGAGAGAGAGAAAATAATATGTTTCACTGCATAACATAAACTGCTCATATAATGTTTCCATATATATACCGATATGATTCTTGATCTTCAGATGTATACAAAGTAGCTTTTATAAACATCTTCATTGCTCTGTAAAACCAAGAACCAACGTTTTACATTCTGGTTTTTGCCCCAAGACTCATAAGTTGTTGTGGGGGGACCAAAAACAGGGGGCATGACGCCGATGAACAATTACATAGCAACTTTATACTAGACTATATACATCATTGTGACACAGGCTGCATCAAATGACCTAGACTGAATCTAACCTAACACGCGCTTCTCCACCTTACATGATTTACCGAGGTCATAACTCAAACCATATTTTAAACGCAGAGGAGATATGTCTTTGCTCTTCAAGAGCAAGCTATACTCGTTGGGTTTTAGTTGGAAAAATGTCGATGTTTACAGATGATAAAATCTAGAATCTGGTGATATACATAGTTGTTTGTTCCTTTACAGAATGAAATTAGAGTTGACAGGCTTCATCTTGTGTTACTTCCAGGGTAGATCTCAACAAAATTGATATCATAGAGCAAAGTTGCATTTCCAGGTATGTTACAGTCACCTGCATTAACCAATACGACAGTCCCATTTATATATATATCATTGCTATGAGCATAGAGCAGAAACATATGTACAAAGAATAGTTTGGGAAGCACCAGAAAAGCACCCTGCAGGCTCTGGTCCATAAGCTAACAGAGGTGGAATCTGAAGTTTACGCTTTCCCCCTGTTAACAAAACATGGTTTCAGCCTAATAAAAGAAGACATACTCTAAACGTAATAAGAAAATTAGACTACTACTTGCCTACTCGCATAGGAGGCACTCCTTCGCCTCCAAGAATCCCCTGGTCTAGACCCCTTATAACCTAATAACCACAAAGCGTAAGCACCAAGAAACTTACATCATTTTATATTTCTCGGTACATCAAAATAAAATAGTTTTGATTCGGAAGAAAATTTGTTCGACTCGATGCTTGTAATCATAACTGTATTCCCATTCTAGGGTTGATTAACTAAATTTATATTTGAAAAAATAAATCCAGCTTAAAACTCATGAAAAATTTGAAGATAATGTAATCTAACTAAGAGACTCATTGGGGGTTAGATCATACCTTGCCGACACCAATCCGCATAGTAAGTGGTCTTGCACGCTTATAGGTACTGTCAAACAACGTTCCATCTGCAAACCTTGCCGTGTAATGGACCTGGCCCAACACCAAATTCTCAAAACTTTGAACCAAAACTTTTTGCAATGCGTATTGATGCAACACAAAAATAGTTAATCAAATGTGTCCTAAACACATGAACTTTGATAAAACCTTTAACAGAGAGAGATGGATGTATTACATTGACGAGTACGCCACGTGGGGCTTTATCACCGAACCCAACAGAAATATCGCAGAATCCAAGTCCCGATTTTGCGTAGCTGTATTCGCAGAGAGGGTCTCCGACAGTGGCGTAGTACTCTATCCTCGTGGCGTCTGCGTCCAGAGGCGTCAGTGAGAGAATCGTGGCAGCTAAAAACCCTAAACCCACTCCGAAAACATTTTTCTTCGTGGCGGTTAGGCTCCTCTGTTTCTGCTGGCAATCGGTGGAAGAAGAAGAAGAACAGAGACAGGAGAATGACGATGACGATGACGAAGGAGAAGAAGAGATGGTGGGTTTGAAGGAACGTGTGCAGAGAGATGATGTGAGTGTTAAAGTAGAAATCGCCATTGTTGGATCCGAGCTCGTCTTCCTTCTCTTCTTCCTTATCTGTGGGGAGAGCAAGCGTTTGGTCTTGAATCTTTCCAGAGTGCAACTGGCAAAAAAACAAAGTGGATATGATTGTAGGACCCACTTGCCATGTAATACTTTTTTTTTCCATTGACCAAAATTCAGCGAATTACCCCCTCTGTTTCATTATAAGTGTCGTTTTAGATTCATGAACACGGATTAAGAAAACCAGTAGTTTTACATATTTTTCATATAAAACACAATTACAGACCGCAAAATAAAAATAATAAATTTTGCATTGAAAATCCAAAACTACATTTATTTTGTAAACTATACTTAATATAAAACGGAGGGAGTATAAATTGTCAACAATTACACTATCGAGTGTGATTAGACCGTGAACCAATTAAAAGCAAGAGAAGACAATTTCTTCCTACACAATTGATTTTCTATTTTTATTAAAAAAATTAATTTACAAAAATAGTGTTATATTTGAACTGCTGCGGTTGTTTTAGAGCATTATTATCAAAATAAGTTTTCATATCTCACAGATCCCAATGAAAGATAAAATAAATAAATATTTTAAATGTTTAGATATTTCATCAAAAATATCTCAAATAAGATATTTTATAACATTTTTGATGAGATATCTAAACATTTGAGATATTTATTTACTTTATTTTGTATTGAGGTTTATGAGATATTAGTGGTGAGAATCTATTGATAATGGTGTTCTTAATTATATGTTAATCTGACAATGCCTTGTTATGAAAGTACTACATATTGAGTATTGATATATACACAATATATTTTATAAATTTCGTAATATATAGTGCCAAAAATACAGTATGTAGTTTATAACCAAAATAACAAGAGTCATTTTGTTCGGGTCAAAACAATAGGTTCTAGACATCGCGCTATGTGACGATCTAGAAACAAGTACTGTGCATGCAACTTAGGTTATAGGCATAATATCTCTGACGGGTTTTTTTTTGTCGACATCGTTTGAGTTAACATGCAAAAGTTAATATGATACAAATTTGTATAGATTTTGCCTAAATTGAGAAGATATTAATTAGATATCATTCTAAGAAAAGATTGAAGATATTCATCAAACACGTGTGATGGAAGTGAGATGATAGTGATACGTTATTGAATTAGGATGATCGCAGGACACCATCGGACAAAAAGTCACGGAGATGAAGAGTTACAAATAGACAGAAAAGTCCCCCAAAATCATACTTAAAAAATACGATGAAGACATATATTAATAACTTAAAATTGATAACCATAGTTGCAGGAAGAAAAGGAATAGCAAAATCGTCTAATGTTATTTGACCTGTAGACGAACAAAATTCAAAAGCATCGTAGTGGTTTCTTTTTGTGAACAACTATCTTTAAGGTTTTCTCAAAATGTGCCACTGTGAAACGGAAGCAACTTCTTTAAGAACCTCTTGTGAGAGGTCATCTGGATTATACTCAACTCCAAAGCATCTCACAACCTCCATCTTCGGATTCAACAGGTACCTATACACCCAACATATCAACATTGTAGCACTCTTTTTTTATTCTTATAAACAAAAAAAAAATTTTATATGGTATTTGAACAAGGTTCCTTACATGTTGTGACAAGTTCCAACGAGATAATCGTCTCCATCTTCTTGGACCTTCTTAAAATAAACACGATACTCTTGTGCCATTTGCCTAATTGCACTTGCAGATCCGGTCAAACCAAGTATTCTACTGTCAAATTCTGTAAGTAAAAAAAAAAAATAGGTTATGAGCAAGAGCAAGGCAACGTCAGAGAGATTATAAAGTAGCTGGAATATAGCTGTGGATCACCTTTCAGGTAGGCGTGGAGATGAGAAGGTGAATCTCGTAAAGGGTCAAGAGTGACAAAGACGGGCAGAATCTTCTGGTCATGAGTACACTCTGTTTGCATCAAACCAACACATGATTGATTATTGAAAGATCACCTTTATATAAACTAAACGAAAAACTGCTCTGAGCTTTGACCCAAACCTAGTTGATGAACTGCTTTGGACATCATTTTCAACTGCTCAGGTCCAACATCCGGGGAAAACGAGTATCCAAAGTAGAGCAGAACCCATTCACCACAAAATTATTTCTCAGTGACAATCTTGTTTTGTGTACTCATAAGCGTGAATGGACCTCCGATGATTGGACCTTGGACAGTTGTATTAGAACCACACCCACAACCGCTATTGCTGCTTGTTATACCTGTGGAATCAGAACAGAAGTTAGAAACTCTCTATAGATCCAATGAAGAAGATTCTCTCTATATAATTACATATATATACCTTTAGGAACAGCTCTCCTTTCATCATTGTAATGAAGAAACCCGATGAATCCAGTAAATCCAAGCACAAGTGCTGGCTGCAGTTGCATCGAATAGTTATAACAGAGAAAAGATCTAAACAATTCAAAATTAAGTGAAAGCAAAGAAGTTTTAAAAGCAAATACAGCAGCGTAGCGAAGACGTGAGCGTGGAGAAGTTTGAGTTCCTATAAACAACTTAGGGTTAACATCTGTCTTTCCATGGCTCCGTCTTGTTGATTTACTGTAATTGAATGATTGAATCCAATTCCTACATTTTTTAATATGGAAGATGATCAATCACTGCTTTGAAGTCAATTTTCAGAGCAAAGCGATAGATATTTAGGGTTTAAGAATACAACTAACCCTCTGAGAATATTTGCAGCACCATATTTGCAGGAAAGATGAAGACGGCGAGCAACAAACATTGTATTTTCTTACTTCTAACTTTTTTTTTCTTTTCAAATCATTCCAAAGCTTGGACCTAATATCCTGTGGAATCGTTTTCTTTGGTGAGAAGCCAAAAGAAAATAAATATAATTACTTTGTGCCCAAGTTCCTTATCGTGTTTGTTTTATGTTTTTTTTTGGGTTGACTCAATATATTATAAAGTGAAAAATTTTCTAGCATGACATTCAAAAGATTTTATCATAAATATAACACATAATGATGATGGGCAAAAACACATAATGATTAAAATGATCAAAATATTTCATGAAGTTCAGATTTGGTAGCAGAGTTTTGGGATGGAATTCAAGTTTTTTGAAAATATATTTAAAATAAAAAAAAATAAAAAATTTTAAAAAATTGTTTGAAATATAATTTTAGAATTTCAAAAAAAAAATTGAAAAAGTTTGAACTAGAAAAATTATTACTCAATAATCTATTAATAATAGCAATTCCAATTAATGTCAAAGGTTGGGAATCTCATCTAAGTGAAAAGTTATGTTTTGGTATTGCAAAGAAAAATTAAAACAAAAAAAATATTTAAGATGTCTATCTGTAATAAAACTGTTTTCTAAAATAAAATGTTTATTTAAATTTTACTTACTTTTAAAAATAGTTAATCTTTATTACATTAATATAAATTTTGAATGTGATTAGGTATTTTTAAACAAAACCAAAGAGACTAAGATTTAGTATATAGGACATTTAACCAAAATATCTATACTTTTGTAGGGGTTCACCCACATATTTTAAGATAAATTAGAAAATAGGATATTTTGTTTTAATGCATAGTTCCATCATGCAGTGACATAGTATGGAGATTAAAAAAGTTTGAGACTTTGGGAGTTCCCATTTCTCTTTAAATAAGAATTTTTATAGAAGTTAGTCCACTTATTAGGTGATATATTAAGTTTAAATAAATTACTCATTGAAAAATTATAAATGATGTCCATGTAGCGTGAAAATAAGTTTAGCACACATATATATAAATTTAGAGTGTGATTAATTATTTTTAAACAAGACTGAAGAGGCTAAATATTATAAATAACATTTATCAAAAAATTAAATCTTTTTGTAGCAGTTAACCTACATATTTCAGGATAAATTAGAAAATATGTTATTTTGTTTTAATACATAGCTACATCATGACATGATATGAAGATTAAAGAGGTTTAAGATTTTTGGTGTTCGTTTCTCTAAAAAATATAAATTTTTTATTTTTCTTTTTTAATAGAGATTTTGTAGAAGTTAGTTCACTAATTAAGACATATCTGTATTTTTTTAAAAAAATTATATGTTAGAAAATAAGAAATAATGTCCATATACCATAAAAATATGTTTAGAATACATTAATATACATTTATAATGTGATTAGATATTTTACAAAACACTAATCAAGTTAAACTTTAACATATATATAGTATTTATTGGAAAAAATAATAATCTTCGTAAATAAATTAGAATCAGTTTCTCAATTCCTTATTTTTTACTAGGCAAAACAAGCCAAGCCCATATATGTAAATGGAAAGCCTATAAAATAAAGGCCGATATGTCCGTCCACTTACTGGAGAATGCAATTCTAGTTTGGATGTAAATTCTAAGGACAAATTTCACATTATTCTATTTGCTCTTTTTCTTACTAAAGAGGTTCTGTTTTCTTACTAAAGGTTCCACGCAAATAATAAGCGATATTTGGACAATCAAATTAACTTTGAATCTATAATATTTTTAAAAATAATTTAACAACCACTTCACAATTTTTTGTTAATCATACTATTTTACTCAAAAAAGTTTTTCTGGACCCAATTGGAGACAAGAGGTTTCTGATACCGGTTAAAATTATAAAGACGAATACAAACTGTATCCTCCTACGATTCCACATGGTCTCGTTGGAACCCATGGCTCTGTTAGTGATCTCTTGATTTGTGTTCTTTATATTGTTCTTAATTGTACTTTCTACTGTCCACCTTCCTTAAATAAATACTGATTTCTTATTTAATTTATTTAGTTAAAATCTCATCAATCATCCACTAAAATCATTTAGACTTCGTAAACAAATCATTTTAATTAACACCACAACAAATTTTCATCCTATCTTTAAGAAGGTGTCAGGGAGGATTGTTAAGTAAAGGATCGACACACAAGTTTTGCTCCCTATAATGAGGGCATCTGAGTCACATGCTTCCACATGCCACCAAAGAGTTTGGAACTTCCCTTACAAAAATACATTAACAGATGTGGCATGCCGCGTGCTTAATGATGAACATATGATCATTCAGAGAACACGTGTTGCGAAGTCATTCATAAAAACTCCTTAAAATGATCCACAAAACGGGAATCTTGGTCATGTGAACTGTACCTGGGCATTTTTATTTGACAAATACTAATATCTGTCTTCTGTAGTATGGAGACATCAAATGAGGTAGTATAAATTTATAATAGACAGTACAAAAGTATGGCTGGTCTTAATTTATTAATTGAAGGGGCTTCGTTCATCTAATTTTATATCTTTAATTAGTTGTTGTTTTTTTTACAGATAACTCCGGTCTAATATTCACACATCCTTTCATGAATCAGGGTGTGTTTTTGTTACTTTAAGTTTTAAGCTTTTTTGTGAAAATTTAAAATTTTACTAGTAAGAAGCTGAGACTTAACAGAACACACGCCCAAATAATAACCAAAGTTAATGTTTTTTTCCTCGCGTTTGTGTTTAAATTTCTATGGTAAAATGCTATGTTGATATATTAAAACTACAACATATTTTTTTCAAAATTATTTACAAAATGAGTAAATCTTGATGCATTTCATCTTTATGTTTAAGTTTGTAAATATTCTTCCAAAGAAAAATAATGCCCGATTATATATACCAGAAAGCGAAGCACGTCAACTTGAATACGCTTGCAATTGCATCACGAATTAATGAATCAGTTAAAATCGACCTATATGCATATAAGAAAGGCCTACGAACTTGAAAACTTACTGCGAACAATAATTGGTCGAATGCTACTATTATTGTGCGTCTAAGATTTATAAATTCTAGTCGGCCAATAATTGGAGCATGAAATATGTTTCTTTTTATTTTTTTTATTTTTTATGTTAAATAATATTTCTTTAAACGGACACAGTTGGAGAAACTAAAGTTAGAAAAGTGAAATTATAGGGAATCCCTCTCACCTTTTTTGGTGGATTCCAACTCGTCACTCGTAACTTTTTCTCTTTTCTACAATTATTGTTTAGAGTCATGCGTTAAAATTATGTCTTTCTCCTTAGGTGTAAACCCTAACCCAATAGGAAAAATGTTAAGCTAATAAAAGAAAGAAAAATAAAGGAATTAACTATATTGTGCTTAATTTAGTCATAGCGGATCATAATAATATGTAAGATCAACCTCTCAAAGATTTTCCCTCAGTTGAAATAAAGGATGTTGTACATGTAACATGACAAAGTTTATTGATAGTAGAATAAACGTGATTTTGGTGAGGTTTGATTTGACAAATATACATACACATATATATACATGCACATGATCATTTTTTACTGTTCAGTCTGAATTGCTTTGGTAAAATAGTTGGCATGAAATTTTATCGTAACTGCTAATTTATATATTTATAAAACCATTGCCGAACGACTCAATTTCCAGACGCAATATGAGACCTATAATTCTATGAAAGATTCGGATCTAGACCTGATCCACTCGTTAATAGAAGAAAATTAGGGTTTAAGTAATTAATCAACTAAATTAAAGACTACGAGGTTCATTGAATAAGTTGAATGACAAGAAAGAAATTGGAAGAAAATATATTAGCTAAATCTAGTGATTAAAACGTGTCGACTGGATGTGATCGGAAAATATTGGACAAGCTTCACAGTTGACGGCCAAATGGCTTAAGAATTTTCATAATTTTCTATAGCATAGGGGACATCCCTAAGAACTTGGGGGTTGTTTAAAAATATATACGCATTTCATATAAAATTATTATCACTGCAATAACAATTTTGGAGCATTTAAACAAGTTAAAATTAAGAGAAAGATAAATTAATGAGCCACCAAATCTCATAACGATCTTGTGGCATGTCGGGGGAAACGGGTGAAGTATGGTTTGTTCAAAAGTAGACAGCCAATAACATGAGACCAAGACTCTAATGAAAGCCTAGTTAACGATAATGATTTATCTAGTTACCATATTATAATCATTAACGTAGGATTTTCTTCTTGTCTTTCATGGCTACATACACACTTATAACTAGGTCCATGTATAGGATATAAGAAGTCAATCAAGTTGTCCTTTGAACATATTATTTAATTTTGATCAAAAAAATAAAGAACATGTTATTTAATTAGGCTTAGTTGTTTTTTGTTTACATTAATTATGAGGAAAGGATTGAAAAGTCTTAGTTTTCATCTTCTCTATGAGTCAAAGTATCGAATTGACCACATGGGATATGTGACCCTGACAATTCAAATATTCAGGAATTACTAAAAGCTTACTAACAATAAAGTCAGGAACTAAATCAATATAAATTTGTTTTTGTAAATATATTTTATAGTAATTTCAAAAATATATGGCAAAAAAAAATTTATAGCAGTTTCAAAATATATATATTATCTTGATTTAGAATGCCTAGTAATCTTTTTTTTTAGTTGTTCAAAAAAAAAAAGATAATCTTTTTTTTTTTGAATAACCAAACATTTCATTAAAGGAAGGGAAGTTAGGCCATAGTTTGAGCGAAACAGAGTTACTAGTCTTTGTGAAAACAATGGAATTCGATAAAGTTACTAATGCATTGCTTATAATGTAACTGAAATGACAGCATGCACATTGTGGATATGCTACATCGATATGTTTTTCAGTAACCAAAAAGAAAACATGTAGTGACTAGAAAAGAAAATGAACGAGGTCTCCGTTACACAAATTGTTGATATCGACTTTAAAGCATATTTAGCTGTGCTGTCAGAGAGATTCTCTTATTGGTGAAGTTTATTGGGATCCGTACAAGTTATAATATACTCCCTCTGTATAAGATTCCATCCAAAATATGTAACTGGTTACGTATATTTAGGAATTATTTACTCTACTTAAAACAATTAACTATATAAACAAGTCTTAGTTAATTAAGCTCAGCAGCAAAGATCAGATCATAGGTCGAGTCTCCTTGACGCTATCTTCCCACCCAAGTTTTGCCTAATAGAATATTCCATTTATTCTTATGGTTTCTAATTAATAATCAAATAAAAGGCTTCCTTCTTCTTTTTCTTTTGTAGATGAAAGGATTGTTTTTTTTCTTGGCAAATAGATTCCATGCAACGAGCGTAGCATTTCTAAAGATTCTATAATCTAAGAAAACCCGTGGCTTTAATCAATAATATAAACAAAGACTGCCCAAAAAGACCTTAACTAGAGATGATTACTCCATAAAAACTAAAATGACTATTTGAACTGCACATACGAAAATATATAAATAAACCAGTTTTATTTAGTTAATTGTATGTAGTTATATCTGACTATCAGAACAAACTAAGCTATAAACACACACAACTCAACAATTCATTTTAAATATATATTTAACTGATTATTACCAAGACTTAACTCGAAAATAATTGAACTAGATGCATCGATATTTCCTAGATTTGTTTTCACTTTGATTAGTTGCTTCTATTTAAAATGGGGGGAAATTATTAGAATGTTAAAAATGTGAACTGATCTTTTAAGATTTCAACTGAAGTGAAAATAATACTTATACAAATTACCTTCATTTTATTTTGAGGATCATGATGACATTTGCATTTTATAGAATTCCAGATATAATCGATTATATAATAAATTTTACATTTGCATTCAGTACAAATTTGCTTGTCAAAGATACGCTGAGTACACCAAGAGCAGGAAAAACAACTAGATTAACAAGTTACTAAAAAGAGATCCCCCTTAATTCTTATAGCTCTAATCATGCTCCAGATCTCATTTGTTTCCATTTCACTAACCGTTGCAGGAAATCCATAACCTGTTAATATTTAAGAAGAAAAAAATGTAGTCAGCTTATGATATACGCACAATATACAGAAATTGTTTAAGGACTTGTAAAACACTTAATATGAACTCAATAATTTGTAGCGAATTATATATGTATATATATATATCAATTTACCTCATCAGGCTCTTGCAAAGAGTAAGACGCGTTAGTCTCCTTTGGAGATTTGGAAACAAGTATGCCAAGACCTTGTCTTCTTTCTCTCAGTATCTATAACATCAATTTAAATCAAATTTATTTGGATCATCGAGAGATATATATTTAATTTAGCCTACAGTCATTACGGGGTTCTATATATGTATATATCTATTATATTAAAAGAGAAGTCATAACTCACTTCATGTGTAATTTTTAAGTTTGGACCATCCTTAGAAATTTTATATAATATAACATCATTATAATATCTTTTCATATCTTTGATTTTTTTTGAAATACAAATAAATAATTTTAAGAAAATTCTAACAAAATCTTTTAAAAATCTTATAGAATCTTTTTAAGATATAGTTTCAAAATTATTTGATTAAAAATTTAATTATCACAGAATATAATTTATTTATTCCTTTTTAACAAAAATTATGTAATATACTTTTAACAATATCCCAAAATTTTGTTTATGTCTTATGTAGGTCCAATTTAATTTACATTTTATATATTTAAAATTTAGAAATAAAAAAAAAATATATAAATTAGTGATGTTACATAATAATGTTTTTACAAATTGTTACAAAAAGAAAAATTTATAAATTTTAAATTAATAATATTATTAGCTACATATATATTATTATAAAATTGGATAGTATATACAATCAAATTATATTTATTTATTGATAAATTTTACTCCCTCCATTACTTAATATATGATGTTTTGGATCATAGCACAAAAATTGAGAAATTTACATTCTTTTACAAAAGTATTTTTAAAGATATAATTTTATAATTATTCAACAAATTATTAAAAAGAATAAAACTTTATCGGTTGAACAATTTCCAATAAAGTTAAAGATAACTTTAAAACCTCAAAATATACCTTAAAATCTCAAAACATCTTATATTTTAAAATAAAAGAAATCTTATAAAACATCATCTATTTAAAACGGAGTGAGTATTATATAATTTCAAATATTTTCATATTAAAATACCCGCACGGTTGTGCGGGTCGAGATCTAGTCTTCTATATTAAAAGAGAAGTACCATTTATATCTACTACAAAAAGTCATATTGGACTATTTCATTAATATAACATATTTGATTATTTATATTAATCAACCAAATATATACTACTGAAGAAATATTTTAATAATATATAACTATAAAGTTATCTTTAATTTCATTTATAACAAAATCTGTTGAGAAAATATCTAACAAGATCTTACCAAAAAAGTTAAATATTTTTATAAAATATATATTATTTAATTTCGTGATTAATATATATATATATATATTAATGTTAATTAAAAATAAAAATTGGTATATTTTATAATTTAATGATTTTCTATACTATATTAAAATAAAATGCTATGTGAAATTAATATAAAAATATATTAAATTGGTAAAGAAAAATATTTTATTTTAAAAATTTCTTTTATTCACTGTTAAAACATATTAATTTTTTTAAATCATGTAATATTTTTATACAAAAAATGTTGACATATATTTTTGTAATTCACAACAAATACATTATCTAAAAAAATATATTTGATATTTTTAAAAAATGACAACAATATATTATATAAAATAATTAAAATAATAAGATTCTATAGTTATACAATATAAAAATAAAATGTAAATGATATATCTGAAAGATTTTGTTATATTTTTATAAAATGAAAAATTACCCGCACGGATGTGCGGGTTCAAANCAACAAATACATTATCTAAAAAAATATATTTGATATTTTTAAAAAATGACAACAATATATTATATAAAATAATTAAAATAATAAGATTCTATAGTTATACAATATAAAAATAAAATGTAAATGATATATCTGAAAGATTTTGTTATATTTTTATAAAATGAAAAATTACCCGCACGGATGTGCGGGTTCAAAATCTAGTGTACCTTAAATGCATCTTCGTCTGTGCGATCATCGCCGATGTAAAGGGGAAAAACGTTGGTACAATTAGCGTACCCTACACAGGCCAATACAAATTTTAATTAATACTATTGATCTCAGCACTAATGACATTACTCATTAATAATTAGTAGATGAAGATTTTACCAAGTGACTCTAATAAAAACTCGAGGGCTTTGCCTTTATCCCATTTAATGATAGGTCTAACTTCCAAAACCTGAACGATTATACCAAAACATAAACCCATTAATTGAGAAAATAAACTCTAGTCACATCAGAAAGTAGGAACTAATTAATTGTTAGTATTAATTAGTATCTTACTTTTCTTCCTTGGGTAAGACGGAGCTTAGGGTAGTCCTTCATTACTGATCGAACTTGATTTGCCAAATCACTCCAGTTCTGTCAATATATAGGTAAATTTCTTGATTGGTTTAATTTTTTTTATTGCATAATAATGTAATATTGAAAAAGAAAATTATCGTACTTTCTCATCGACGCGTCGGAAGTGGACAGAGACACAAAACTTGTTGTTCTCGACGTTGGCTCCGGGAGTTAATTTTGTTTTCTCCATTAATTTTTGATACACCTGAACCAAAAGGTAGAAAATAATGTAAGTAACAATAAAGTAGTTTCTTCTTATTATTCAAATATAAGAGACTGAATATTGAAGGAGAATGTGACCTCGTCGATCATGGGGAGGAACTCTGTAGCTGGTTGGCAAAGAAGAGATTTTTCCTGTAATTTTTAAGGTAACAGTTGAACTGAGAAATAATATATTAATGATTTATTTATGTAAAAAGTAAAGAGAAAAATAAACTTACTTCCTCATACTTGGACCCTTGCTCTGGCCCTTTGATATCCATTCCATGACTTCCAGCATAATACAACTCGGTCAATTTGACGAAATTATAAACCTGAAAAGTAATTATAATTAGCTTCAATATTTAATCACCACTATATTTTAACAATATACATATATAATCACTACTATACAGTCTTGTTATTTTAAACTTCATATACCTTTTCTCTGCATCTCCCACTAACTATGGCCGTCGGAAAACAATTTGCTAGGTTTCTCACTGTTCTTCTCATCTAAAAATCAGGCCAGAAAAAAGAGAATAAGTCAAAACACTTTTAAACAAGTACAGTTATATATATATATTTAGGTTTTAGAAATGAACCTGCTTAGACATGAAAGCTCGATCTGGATCATCAACAATGGGAGATAAAGTGCCATCATAATCCAAGAACATAACGATTTGTTTTCCTTCAGAAGCATGAAGAATCTCTTCGAACATATCTAAAGCTGATGGATGTTCTTTCTGCAAAAATTATACAGTTCTCATTTATTATAAGAGAAGGAAATAAAAAACATAGATAAAGCGGACATTTGAGCTTGATAATCATTGTCTAATATACGTACGAGCCAGGAGCTTTGTTTCATCAAAGATTTGAGATGAGTAGGAGAACAAGCTCTCATGGAATCAACCCATGAATTGATTAGTGCTCCTCCATTGTTGATAATAAGATCTTGAAGAACTTTCTTCTTTGCCGACGTTACATCCGTATTTGATTTGTTTCCTGTTTCTTTGTCCACATGTTTTGTGATTTCTTCAATGAATCTTACTGAAAACAAAAGAAAAGACAGATGAGGATATGTAAAACATATAAACGTGTGTTAGTATATCAACAAATTTACCCATTTGTTGTTTGCCGATTTTGAGCCGAAAGAGAAAAAAGGAGATTTTAAGTTGTGAAAGCAGAGTGAGAATGTATGTGTGTGGGCTTGAGAGAGACAGAGGCTGAAGTGTGGTATGGTCTGTATTTATAGTAACAAATTATTGTAGGAAAAAAAAACAAGAAACTTTATTTTGAACGTAACATTTTAACTTAGCTAAAAAGGAAAAAGATAAATCAGATGTTGTGGTGTGTGTGAACGCTGGAACCCATTTGAGTATGGGTTTATTGTTTATATGGTTAGTAGGTCCCACAAAGCGGCTTCCCCGCTCTCAACGATTGTTAAGTTAATTTTAACGTTGCAGTGTTCTCAGCAACCGCCATCGTGGTCCCCTCCCATTAGAGCAACTCCATTGCTGAACCTCTAAGTGTGGTTCTTAGCATTTTGTTTCAATTATTTTAATTAATTTTGGAAAGTTAAGGACTTTCAATATTTTTGGTGTCCATTGGTGAACTCCAAAATGGGGTTTTTAAAAATAAAATAAAATCATGTTTATTGAAAAACACAAGAGGAAACAAAGAGCAAAAGAGTTGTATGATTTCATATCTCCAGATACAATAGAGAAACAAAATTGAAGCAGATGCAGAGCTTTATTGAGTTCAGTCGCCAAAAGAGAGATCAGGCGTCAGCTTGAGCTGTTTTCTCAACCGGGGTGTAAAGATAATACTCTCTGCCGTTGTCTACTCTAGTAGTCTGACCTCCCGAGTCAATCAAAGCAGATGTAACAGCTAGAGTTGCACCTGCAGCTATCGTTGTGGGAATGCTCCTTGCTATGTCAAAAAACGAAAAAAAAAACAAATTTCACCAAAGGTTACAACAGAGTTTCACATAAAAAGAATGCACTAATCTGTAGCATCTAATCACTCAAGCTATGAACTTTCAATAATTACATACATAATCACTCTTCATCAAAGTCCTAGATCATATACATTTGCTACACAAGTTTACATACTCCAAAAAACCATATCAGTTCCAACCACACTACTTATCATCAAGACATCAGTTTATACTCTAACAAAACTCATAGCTATACGCTGAAATGATTCATTATATATATAAATGAATGCAATAAATCTATAGCATCTAATCACTCAAAGCTATGAACTTTCAATCTTTACATACACAGTCACTCCGTATCAAAGTCTTAGATCATATACATTTGCTACACCAGTTTACAATACTCCAAAAAACCATATCAGTTCTAACCAAATTACTTACCATTAAGACATCATACAGTAACAAACCACAACAATGAACAAAGAAAAAACCATATAGTACCTCTATAGCCAAGGACAGAAGCTCCAGCAACAAACACACCAATACCACCATTGAATATATCTCTCTTTCCTCTATAACTCTGAACCACCTGTTCAACACTAATGTAAACTCCTCCAATAACAGTAAAAGTAAGTCCATGAGTTCACATCATCTTCAGCGTCCTGATAAGACCCAGAAGAGCCACCTTTCTCTCCACTCTCGGAACATCTTTCCACGTGGCCAAAATGGTTCCGTAGATAGTCCCAGCAGCGAAATCAGTCACACTTCCTTTGATTGTCTTCATCATTGGACCATCCTCTTCTTCCAAGTACCCTAATTTCAAATCGATCCTCAAATCGATTCAAACCCTAATCTACTCGAAAACAAACCCAAAAGAAGAAGAAACCCCCAAATCGAACCCTAAACAACTACAATAAAGCATGCAGATAGCGATTTACCGAAGAACAATCAAGATCTCTCGAATCGCCTATTGAATCGCCTTTGGTGGTTTGTTTCTTCTCTCTCGCGTAAATGACTTTGTTTTTTTTTTCTAAACCAGATTTTGGCAAAACGACGCCGGCTTGTATAAGCCATGTCATCAAGGACTCAATCCTAAAAACCCTTAATTAAGGGGCAACTCTTAAAAAAAAGCAGATTTATAATATTATAAAAATCCGATTTTGTTAAGGGGTTGGGCTTAAGAGTTAGCGATGGAGATGGTCTTAACACCATATGCCTTCTCTAATTATTTATTCCTATTTTGTTGCTGGTCCTAACTCATTTGTTTTTATTAGTTATCTTTTAAAAAAAAGTTTTTATTAGTTATCTTCCTGTACTAAAAGATAAATATAATACTAATTTCTCTCAATTACAATACAATGTACAATTATTTCTTTTATCAACATATATTATTTTCCTTCTTTTTTAAATCTATTATTAGCTTGCTGTTATAAGGAAACTAAACAAATGTTTTTCAAAAAAAAGGAAACCAAACAAAGTGGTAGTTAGATATCATCTATTAAATTATAAAGTTGAGATATGATTTTATGGTTTATGAAATTACAAGAAACAGTTTCTGCATATGCTACTCGATTGGTTAATTATTTTCTTAGTTTACTTCCTTGAGAATCATGAGTTCTGATTTAGCAAAAAAAAAAAAAAAATCATGAGTTCTAGTTCAAAACTATTTAGTGATGAGTACTTATCTGTATTGTATAGTAAGTTAGAAATGTTATTTTGTTCCTTAGTCTAGTTGTTGAGTAATAGTATTCAGAATTTCAATCGTTAAAAAAAAGTATCCAGAATTTCAAAAGTTTTACCGTTTGATTCTAACAAATAATGTATCCATTGTTGGAATTAAACTTTGTTTGATATCTCACATCCATATAGTAGAAATATTAGAAAACCTAGATCTATAAATCTGATAACGAATGATTAAGATATGTCAATAACATATCTACACATATCTCAATTTCCCTTGATTATAATTTTGTTCGTGAGGCCTGTCCTAGAAGAGCTAGCTCTCTCTTGGAAGCTACGAAGACATGTTTTGTTCTTCAGTTCTTGACGTTGTCGTCATTGTTTTTTTTTCTTTGCTAAATACGTTGTCTTCATTGTTTTGTAATATTAAACAAAGACTACGCACCAATATCTTTTTTTGTGCTTTAACACCAATATCTTCCGAAGTACGATATCTTTTGCTAGCTCGTTATTTTACGGTTACAAATTACGACTTTAATATTGCATCATCAGCCAATCATGCCCCCTAACATATAATTTTATTAGTACGACACAGGTTTTTTCCCTAACTGCATCTAACATTTTCATTAATTAATTTCGTTTAGCTATAGACTGTAACTATAGCTGTTGAAAAAAAAACTATAGCTGTTGAATTTATTAAATGCCACGTGGTTATAATAGATATTCCTGAGAGTCACAGCTGCGTGAAAAATATTCATACGCTTGATTCGGTCATAAGTTTCCACTCAATAATGATTTGCAGAAAACCTTTTTGCGAGAAACATATCCATCCATAATCTATTAACCCTCCAAGTTGATCCAATACCTTGTATGATATTTCTTTGATACATAATATTAGAATTTTGTCCACTCTTGAGTCCTGATTATGTCCCCGGCGCATGCATGCATCAGGATTTTTTTTTTTATAACCACATGCATCAGGATTAGTTATCAAATTATGAAGAATATGAACAGGAATATGAATAAGGTTCTTAGTAACTTCTACAAGAAGGAAACCTCATAAAAAACGTGATGTTGGGACTAAACTATTCAACAAATATTCTGATGACCACTATTTTTTAGATAATTCGATTTACATTTGATTGGAACTTATTAATTATCATTATCATTTTCTGATTTGAACCCAATGCTCTAAAACAACATTCTGGTGTTCTAAAGCACGAATATACTATGTAAAACTTTATTTTTCGTCACAATACGTATATATAGTAACTTGAACAAACGTAATCATAGCGTAATCAATTCGATTGATAGCCAAGGAGATATATATACGTAACACCGCATATATATTAGGTATAAGTTAATTTGAGAAAGGTATTAAACATATGCGTCAATTTGCATGACATTTATGCATGGTTCAAAGCAAAATTCTGAACCGACACCTCACGTGTAACGGACGAATCGAGAGTGTCTCTACCTAACATGTGGATCCCTACGAGGCATAATAGTATCGTATGCAAATAATTGTCCCAGTTTCATTAACCCCTCTCCTCGGATCATTAATTTTAGCGATCTGATGGGCTAATTATTACGCTTGACCAAAGTGTGAAACAACTTGTTGGCAAGATAACAAATTTATATGAGTTGAATGATTATCAGAACGTTCTAATGAGTAAGGACTTACATCAATCTCAATAATTATAATCGATTTTTCAGTGAGTTAGCACTTTATGAAAACCAAGCATAATGTCGGTCGCATGAGGTACTTTCTATATTCGTCGACCCATATATATCACATGACATTTTTGGATGCCAGAAGTTCTTCTTGTAAAATATGAACTACCAAACGAGTAAATTTCAAGACTCTGTACTTTATAGAAATAAAAGCATAGTATTATCATATTTAACACCTTGTCAAAGAAAAATCTTATACACTAGAAAAATACAAATATATTTTTGTCCATTGAGTCAGTGGCTTTCACTAAACTGGTAAATGCTAACGGCACAACGCTTCTCCAAACTTTTCGGCATAACTCGTGATTGGTGGATCCAAAGAGTGTAACAAGGGGAACAATCTTGAGACGTGGAGTAGTCCATGGTATATCCTAAGAAAAACAATAACTTCCTAGTAAAAATTAAGACATGCTTGTAACAATAAAAAAATAGATATACATATATCTGCGATGAAATTTCTAATAAACCAGACACGATCATGTGTACAACAGATTCTATGCAAATTTATAAGAAAGGAAGAAAGTTGATAGCCTTTAATTTAAGAATATTAATAGATCAATATATGGACGTCGTATATGAAACGAGAAAAGGTAACGATTCTTTTTGTCAAAAAATATATCACTATTCCATCAAGTTGCTCTCATTTCTTAATAATAAAATAACCTTGTAGGTCCTATATTTTTATTCTATATACCAAATTTAATTTAGTTTATCTGTCATCCCAACCAACCAGTAACCTTTCAACAACAGTTGATCGACGCCAAATTATGAATCTACATAATAAACATTGTAACTAGTATGTGATATGATTATATGAAGAACATTATAATCACATAGCTACCTTATGCTAGGAGTGATATGATATAAATTTAGGCCGAAATGCTCCCAATCATTGAGAACTTTTCTACGAAATATAAAATAAAAGATTCATAAATATATTTTTTTCATATAAATTAGACCTGGTCAAACGGAAATATTTACTGGAATACCACTTGATTTAGTTTAGATGGACGGTTGATAAAATAAAATAGATACATAAATATTTGTTAGTTTTTAATTATAAATGGCTCTCAATCTTAATAGCTAGGAAATAGCGATCTGTTAATGTTCAAGTAACATTAGTAGATAAGAATTAATATGCACATATATACGATCATAACGAACCTATGAATAACTTATTTATATATGCACAAAGGTAAAATATATGGAACTGAACAAATGTAACTATTAAAGATATATATCCGACACCGGAAAATCTTTAATGATATATAAATAATTAAGACCAATCCATTAATCATTAATTGATTTTAAATAAAAGTTTATAATAAAACTGAATCTAACATGGTATTAGAGTCCCGATCCTAAATAACCTAAACCCCTAATTAATATAACAATATCTAATAGGGTGTAAATGTCGTGTTTAACCTTCTGACTATATATAATCGTCGTAATTAGTTCGTTCGACCAAATATAATTATTTTAAAGTTTCAAAATTTATGGTCGATAAGAACCATATCTAGAAAAAGAGTATTAGGGATATATATCCCACATTGGAAATTCAATAGAACATTTAGTAATATATAAAATGTTATGGTCAATCCACTTATCACCTATAACAAACCCGAATCTAACAGTAATTTTTATTTTATTCTTAGACTTAGTTTTCATCAAGTATATACTATCTATTAATTCTAAACCATAACCACATAAATAAACCACAGTTTTATTAGGTTTATAGAGAACCTTTCAGAAAGGTTGGAGCTAATCTGTACTGCAGAAGATCATCTTTAAAGAGAGAAAAGGACGTTCTTACTTTAAAATCATCAACGTCCATAGATTATATGTTAAAAGGAAAATGTCGTAGGTTACTCTCTATGATCTCCAAGAGTCGCCAATCTACAATTTGGGTGGCTTCTCTTTATATCTTCATGGCCTTCGAACTTTTAATGGACCGACACTTTTTCGATGATTAAAGCTATGAGGTTGATATGATCTTCCTTTTAACGTATCTGAAAGGCATGTATATTAATCATTGCTTTCATGCGATGTGAAGTTGATCAGTATATTGGTATTATGAAAAATCGGCAAAGAATATTTTACCCGATGATATATGTGAATTGTCGCGGTGTGTATTTATGCCTATGCTACATTTAGAACTCGTAACATCGCTAATCGCGTAAGACTACTTATAAGTAATCTGTGTTGAAATCATTGTAAGAGATAGTTGAATCTTTTTAAATGCACAAGTAGATTAAACACAGTTGAAATTTTTTAATTAGTTGGGTACTCTAAAATGTGGGACTATTGATAATACTTTTCTTCCTAATAATTTAAAATGAAGAATTTCATTATTACTTAAATATTTTTTTATTTTTTACATTAAAATTTATCATTTAGATAAATAAAGAGTAGATTTATTCAATTTGGATATAGAAAAAAATAATTATTAATTAACAAAATAGAATGTTGAATTTTAATAAACAAAACTATTGTAATATATAAAAATTAAATGTATGTTGAATAATAAGGTGAAAAAAAATATGATCTGGAATGTAAAATGATAAAGTGGAAGGTGTTGAATTTTAAAACTATTGTACATAGTTTAAAATCCAATACAACATGTCATTGGCAATACGGAATTGAATTTAATCTATTCACTAAAAAAGTAGTAAAAATGCATATAGTTTAACTATTCCACGCGGATAATACGGTGCATGTAGCGATGTCGATCTCGAAATTATTTTAGTCTTCTTTTAGAAAATAGTTTCTAAAATGATCAACTGTTTAACTATTCTTACAATATGAAAAGACAAATCTTTTCTAGAGTATAAAACGAATTCGCTCGATGGATTTGAACGGGAACTAGTTGGATCGATTGTGACACTTATAAGTAATTAGAATGGAGCATAGTAAGCTTCGCGCTGGAGTTTTTCACTTTCGACGTGTCTTGCATTACAGGTTAAGTGATTAAATCTAAACCCTCCCAGTTTTTTGGTCATTTATGATTAAATATACAAGAAAACATGACATTGTTCTTTATCTAAATTGGACACATAAGGTTGATGTATCCTCTAATTTTCTCTTTTCCCTAATCGACCAAGCACGTGCCCGTCTCTATCACACCACATGAATGTATATTATAAGCACACATATTTAAAGTTTGACGTGTATATCATCACCTCTTTTTTTGGTCACAATATCATCATTGATATACACGTCTAAATATCTCTATAAATCTATCCCATATCTCGTTGACAAAGAAAAAAAAATATCACATATCTACTCCTGATCGGATAAAAGTACGTTATACTGTAAATAATTATTTTTGTTAAATGCTTTATAATATATATTTTGCTAATTACTTTTAAATTCAAATTTCGCCAGATAGTTTCAATGTAAGCTTTGAATCAACGTAATGTTCAAAAAGAAAAAGCTTTGAATCAACATGATAAGCGCATCAATAATATATTCGCCTTTTATTTGCCATGCACAGGCGGATGTATCAGGCAATGAATTGATTTTCTTAAGTAAATTGTTTTCTGCGGACTGCGGTAATCATAATAGCCTCATACAAAAGAGGTTGACCAAAAAATAGGGTCTCATATACATACCCATGTCATCAGGCCTCTTGCTTTAACAAATCATATCAGAGTATAGCACATCCTAACTCTAATTTGTACCAACGAGGCCGAGGCGCCGCCACATCTAACCCGTTAAGTACCAAATCCAACTTTTTTGGGCCATTTTTTGAAAAACACTTAAGCATTATATGATCTATAATTCGGCCCAAGTATCACTACAGATCTTTTGAAAATGCTTAAAAGGCCTTTCATCAATCACTAAACCTTTTTGAGAAAATAACTACATGACCACCACATAGCTAACCGCAAACTAAACTAATGTATATATCTAACTCACGAACTATATGTTATACATAACAATATCTTTCAATTTAATAATGTTATGTAGTTAACATCACGAACTTAATTTCATTAATTCAAAAAGTGATGCGGACGTTCGAAACGTTAACTCCATTTGATTTTCTCGTTGATCAATAAAAATTTAATCGATCCGACTGTAATTTAACTACAATTTGACTTGAGTTAGCCCAATGAAACAAAATGAAATCTGGTCAAAATTTTAAAATTAACCCAATTTTTTTTTATAATAATCAAAGATGTAGTTTCTTTTGTGGCAAAACTCTAAAAAATTAGTTTCAATTAAAATTGGTGAAAAAGAAGAATTTGGTGAAATCTTGTGAGGTTATTGACAAAAATCAAGAGAGAGGAGTTAATAAATTTTGGGGTTGATTACTCTCGATTTAAATCAATAACACCACATGATTTCATCAACTTTCTTTCTCACTGGTTTAAATTGAAATATTATTTTCTAATTTTCACATTTATCGAGATGGATCAAATTTTAATTAAATTACGGTTGGTAAATCTGATTTTATTTGATCAAATTAGAGAATTAATTGATAAAATATTTTTTAGAGGATTAACAAGAGTTAACGTTTCTAACTTCCACAAAATTTATTCGATTAATGAACTTAAATTTGTGACTTTAACTACATAATATCATTAAATTACAGGATGTTGTCATGCATAACATATATTTAGTGTAGCAAAATATTCATTAGTTAGTTTGCATAGTTAGTCATGTGGTCATCTTGATGTAGCCATAAATCTTTTTTTTTTTTAGTTTGGATGAGTTTCAGAAAGATTCAGAAACATGTAGCATTTCTTATTTTAAGTTCTACAAAACTGGTTCATACCATTATATGGTGAAATTAATGGAATATGGTGTTCTGTCCAATTTTTTATCGTTAGAAATATCACGTTTGTTTTATTTTTCACGATATGTTCATTTAGTTTTCTAATTAATTTTCAAAAAAATTTCATGTTTTTTTTTTGTAGAATTAATTAGAAAATTTGAATTGGATATTGTGAAATTAAGTGTCCTGACAAACTTTTGATCGTTAGAAATATCATGTTCATTGTTTTCTTTTATGATATATTCATATGTCAAGATAAATATATGTTTATTATTTCAAAAGTCTATGTCAGGTTTTTGGCGGTATGAACACCGACTTTATGTGCTGAAAGAAACGAATCAGAATATTGGACTAGGCTGCTAAGCTCATTATTCTGTGAATACATATATATATATATATATACGTTATTTAAGAATGGCCACATACATATTTTTAAATTAGTTGTATATATCATTGTTACTCTTTGCCACATTTGATGGTTATTATAAGATTATTTTCTAATAAATAATCAAACTCTTTGCCACTGGTCAATTTAGGTACCCCTCTCTGGCCCTTTGCCTTCCACAATAGACATAAAATACAACACACACTTTTAGAATCTATATAATCATTCATACTTGATTACAATATATTATGGAATTTCTTTATAAAAAATGGAATACCAAATTCTATCAATAGCATTTTGCTTTGTTGAACCCACGATAATGAAATATGTGAAGTTTTTTTTTTTAATGTAAACAGAAAATTGCTAGGTTTGTATTTGGATCCGTAAATTATATATTTCCAACATGTCTTCTTATACCACCAAATGTTAACTTTGAATCACACCTCGTTAACTTTTACTGTAATAGTAAACCTAAAAACTGGTATTGAACATTACTCCAGTAGATTATAATCTTTTTAACGTGAAGATGATAACAGCAAAAGAAAGAGTATAATTTAGGTTCATTAAAAACTTAAAGATGATATAATACATGGGAGCTTCCCCGGTTGGTCAAAGACAAGAAGAAAAAAAGAGCATAAACCAGCCAGACCGAACACATGGAGGAAGATTCCAATAGAACACAAAGCCTAGAAGGTTCTCCCACAACTGCTAAAAAATTCAGTTGTAGAGATTAGCTAACTAATATTACACGTAATAGCATACACTGATGTTAAAAACAAAACCCTTAAGATTCAGACAACTTGCTAATCGCATCCCAATCAATCTCCACAGAAGGAAACTTCTCCAGCACGAAACTCCCAATCTCATCAAACCCAGAATCCGAGAAATCCAAGAACGTAGTGGTAATACCAGACTCCGGAGACGAAGATCCCACCTGAGACTCATCGGAAAACGAATTCTCATCAGTTCTCAAGAACCCATATTCACTTTCTTGATACTCTTCTGCTTTTGGCGGGAAAAGCTCTGTTTCAGAAAAGGGGAGATCATCATCATCCTCTGTCTTCTTGCTCAAGCTCTGACAAATCGCTTCGAGCTTTGCTTCAACAGAAGGATGAAGAGGCTTGAAGCTGCTGCCATCACCACCTCCGTATTCATGTCTCATGTGTGGGAAATTAAGCCTCGCTAATTCGCCACGAAGCTGGTAAGCAGCTTGATCATAAGCCATGGCTGCTTCTTCAGCTGTGTCGAAAGTTCCAAGCCAGAGTCGGGTCCGGTTCTTGGGTAAACGGATCTCAGCAACCCATTTTCCCCAGTGCCTTTGTCTAACTCCTCTGTAGAGTTTCTGAGGGGACATGTTCTTCATTGGGACTGGCTTTGGAGAGAGGTTTGTGTTGCGTTTCTGGTTAAGCTGGTGTTGGATCTGGTGGATTTGGTAAGGCGTGAGCTGGTTTAGACCCAGAGCTGTGGTTTGATTGAAACTGAAGATTGTGTTTGGAAAAGGAGGAAGAGAATAAACAGAGTTGGTAAAAGGTTTAACTACTTTCATGAGCTCTTCTTTGAAAGGATCTGAAAGATCTGTGCTGCTATTGAACATATTTATGGCTGCCATGGATATGATTTTAGAAAACACCTTCTTAGCTTGATAGAACAGAACCTACAATATATGAAAGAACGAGAAAAGGAGGAGATGGTTGAAATAAGAAAATTGATATTAGTTTTCTGGCTCTCTCTAAATTTTGATTTTTGATTTATTTTTTTGTCTCTCTTGGTTTCACTTGATGCGAAGTTCTTCGCTTATATATAGTAAGAGAAACTAAGCCGCCCATTGAACTCATACTATATTTTTTAGAGTTAACTATAATGCTAAACAAACTTTGTTTTAATATATTTTGTCTACATTTGGGTTTGATGCTTTTGTTCTATTCATAACTTGTGCATTTCTCGTCGTCTCGTATTATATCTTTTATTCCACGAAGGGTTAGACATGGGAATACGACGTCAACATATATTCTTTGGATCTAAGCCGTTCCCAGGGAGTACATAATAAGACTTAAAAGAATCATAAATCATCATGGTTTTGATAAATTTTTACAGAAGGGAATCAAAGATCAATATAGTACTGTAACTTCTCGTTTGATATTTGCCTCTTGTTATGGAAGTTATTCTCAATAAAATTATCGAAATAGAATCTTTTCAGCAATATAAAAAACAACGAGAAAAAACAGTAAGAGCCAAAAGTCATTTTGCTGATTATAGTTCTAGGGCAAGTTGAAAGGCCAGTTTGCCTTCTAACCACTTATTTTCTTTAGGCCAAAATATATTTTTATCAAGTCAAAACATATCACCAAATAACATGGAAACTTCATATAGTATTATATATTTTACTCATCTGAATTTGAAAGGAAAAAGCATGGAATTATTTATTGAAGTACTATATATCAGTGCAAACAAATTAAAGAAATCGCAGTTATATTAACCAGAAGAATATTTGGTGATCATTATATGATTTTCAATTTTCAAAGGTAGTTTATGTGGTTCAACTCATTATATTATATTCGGCATAGTATCAATTCTGAGATTTATAAGATTATAGGCGATTTTTAAAAAAATTAACTAAATTTTTATATTATAGATTTATATCTATATACATTTTTTTCAAAAAATTTGAGAACCTAAAAAATGTTTTAGGATTGGTCCATGACTGGCCTTATTAGATAAAGGTATGTAAAATTGAGAAATATGATAGTTTAACAAAAAATAGTGAGAGAAAGTCAAGAAAGCTACAAGATGAAGATGGAAAGAGGTGAGAACTCAGGGCGGTTGAAGTTTGCGTCACAAGGAAGCTAATGGATCTTCTTTTCACCACTTTTTATATTCCTTTTGACAATGTTTTGTTTCTTTTTCTTTTAATAACATCGTCAGACTGTGATGTAAGATTATCATTTTTGTTTGAGTGCGGTAGAAAGCCTAAATATTTTTTTCAATAAATTAATGAAGATAAAAACTACAAAAGATCTATATCATATCGTGAGAAATATTGTTAAATTTGAATTCGATAAGATAGATCACGTAATACAGTCAGACGTTTCTCCAAATAAATTATCAATTGTAGAATTGTCTATAATATTTTTTATTATTTTAATAGTATATTCTACTTTAATTTTTTTTTTTTTATAAATGATAATTTTCTTTTAAAATCAGCGAAATCGTATTGTCTTTCTTTGAAAACCCAGTGTAGGGTCAGTTACTTGGAGAACAAAAATATTTGGTATCCATTTCAGCGTGTACACACGTAGGATCCTACGTGGAAGTCACTATCTATCGGTTTTCCACGACCTGACAAGTGACAAAAGCTAAAGAAAGAACCTATCTTTAATCTGATCGTTAATCTAATGGGTAATCAGATCATAACGTAGATTAGGAATAAATTTAAAGTTATCGAGATAAACTCCATTACACGTCTGATAAAGTTAGCTAATATATAATCTGAACTTTCTACATTTTCTTTGAAAAGATAATTCTATCCTCGATTGGGCTATGTAAAAAACGAAAGAATATCCGTCGATTTGTAGTTAATGAGCTGAAATAGCAAAGACACGTAATTCCACACACATACAAACTAGAAAGACCTACCCAAGATTAGTAGACAATCCATCACTCAATTTCCAATCAGTCACTTTAGATTGTAAGAATGATTATGGAGTTTATGTATTAAATTACTATCATGTAAGATGACACCCAAGGTCATTATCTTATGAACGAATAGATAGTCTTATTGTTTCCTAACGTTTTTGTGATTATTAGTATTATATAATCCAAAGAAGCCATATATAATAACCATACACTATCATGACAGCCTAATTTGTTATGGGATTATCTCCAAGTCAATCCATTAAGTGCAATCAAATTCATTTTGTAATACTATATCGATAAGATCATGGTGATGGTGATGTAGTGGCCACTTAAGTAACATACACGACACATTGAGTAGTTCTTGTATACTTTTTATAAATTCGACGAAGCTAGTTGACTTTCACATATGTCAACTCTTCCTCCACCATTGGAGTTGGAGATCAGGATGACATCAAAATTAAAACCTACATTCCCTGACCGTGACCCACACATTATCTGACTATTTTTCTTTGGTGACCCACATATTTCTGATCACACTTTAGCAACGAAACTCTTGTTCAACTAATTCAAAACCAATTCGCTGAATACTAGTATTGTATATACTCCAATAAACAATTTTCACTGTTTTCCGATTATACTATGAAACATAAGGAGTAGCATTTACTCCAGGAGCAGCCGATTTAGATAATCTTGCAAGTCTATACTAGGTAAAAAAAATGACCCAAGAGTTTTGCTAGTCATAGTTACATTATTTCAATACCTAACTGGTCCACCAGAGTTAGAATGATTAGTGTAAGCAACTACAGCTTCTTCACTTTTCACCTTTACATCTTCATACATTTTCAAAGAAGCTTCTGAATACTTCTTCAATCTCTCAAGAAGCTTCGCTAAACTCGAATGCACGCTCGACAAATCTTCAGAAACCAACACCGAATGTTCCTTCTCCTCCCCGAACATCTCCATATCCGCTGAGAACTCTTTGATAGACCCACTGAGTTCAGCTGACGGCAGAGATTTCATCCCAGCCGACCAATCCCTGCACAAGACAAATATCGGCGGGGCCAGGACACGGCGTGGGGACCACGGTCTTCGGTTTCTTGTAGAACGTTCTTGAGGGAGCAAAACACAGTTGTGTAGCCAACCACTGAGAGCTTCAACGTAAGAACTCATACTGTTGACCAAATCTGCAAAGCTTAGACCAAAACACTCTGTTTCCTCTAGAAGCTCTGACCATATCCGTCTCTTGAGAGCGTTTTCTGGTCCTGTTTTGGACGAGTTCCGACAGTGGTAAGCCAGTGAGATGGTAATGTACTGCGAGTGGTGACATTCGAGCATTGCTTTCCACATTCTTATCAACCTAAAGAGAGAAGAAAGATCAATCAATGAGTCTTATTGATATGAAAGTTAAGCGACTTGTAGTTTACTATATTATACCCTTGGAGAAACTCTAAGAGCTGAGGCTGAAGCTCTTCGTCTCTGATTCTCTCGATGCGCTTTGAAATGGAATCAACTGATTGAATGGCGACTCTGATTCTTGAATGAAGATCTTTAGCAGCTGCTCTTGTTTTATCCATGGCTTTAGCACTGTGATCCTTTGTGAATTGGTTCCTTAACTGCTCACATTTTCTATCATACTCTTTCCTAATCATCTCACTCGCCTGCACACACACAAAAAAAAAAACAGATGAAAATGTGAAGTTGATGCGTTTGTCTTAGAGCTATGACTTGTTGAAGCATTACCTTGACTTCATCATAGAGTTTTCTCTCCCAAGCGTATAACCGATCAAGTGAAGAAGAGTGACTTCCTGAGATCATACAGAACTCTTGTATGAAATCACTTCCACTTTCTTCATCACCATCATCTTCTTTTGGTGTTTCGATCAATGGATTTCTAGAAGTGGAGGATCTTGAAGAAGTTGTTCTCTTCCACACTATAACTTTCGTGACTTGTTGGTTCAATGACTCTACATTAAAGCTTTCATTCAGACACTTAAACAGATAACAATAATACAGAACCAAAAAAAAAGAAAAAAGAAAAACAGACCTTTAAAAACAGGTGAGTGACTCTGCTTCCCTCTACAACAAGCTCGCTTCAAAGCTCCGAGAAACGCTACTGAGTTTCCTTTCCCTGTAAACACAAGATTCAATTTTTCAAGATCCATTTACCACACGAAGAAAAGAAAAAAATACAGAGCACAGACCTGTGGTATCAGCGAATCCGACTCTGATTTTGTTAGCTTCAAGCATCCTTGACACTTCTTTGCCAGATTCAGAAGCTCTGAAGAACTTATGCTCAATATCTTTCATGCTAGACACAAAGTCTTTGGCTCTATGTGTGATAAACTCTGATGGATCTTCTCTTTCATCAACATCTTCACAACTCTGTTTCCTCTGCTCTGTTTTTAAATCTTCGACATTGCCCTCTTTACTCTTCTCTAATCCTATAACTGAACCAATCTCTGTCAGTCTAAAGCTATCGAACTCGTCGTCACAAGTGTCGAAGTAGTCCCAAGAAGACGTCTCCGGCCGGCGAGAACGCGGCGGAGGAGAAGAAGATAACTCCGGCATTGCGTCTTCTTCATCGAGAGGGTTAATCGTGAAAGTCACTGCAGAGTCAGCCGCCGGTGTCGACTTGGTGTAGCTTAGATTCAAAACTGGTTTAGGGTTCGCGCTGTGACTCAGTGGTGAGTCAACCGAGTCGCCGTCGTCGTCAGGGTAAGAAGAGGAGTTAGATGAAGCCACAGGCGCCGTATCCGCTTCGGCGTATTGACGGAGACAAGCTCCGATGTTACGGAGGGAACGGACGTAGGAGACGTGTGCGGCGGCGAGGGAACATCTGGAATCAATGGCTTGTTTGACAAATCTCTTTCTTTCTTTACATAGAAGAAGGGGCTCCTCCTTCTTCTTCTTCTTCGTCTTCTTCTCCTTCATCGATGCTTTTGAGGTTGAGCATCCCATCTTCTCCAGAATCGAAGGAACCATATTTTTTTTCTTCAATATAAAAATCCTAACTTTGGATTTGTTTTACCCGGAAATCTCTCACAGTGGTTACGAAACAGAAGGAACTTAAGAACCCATTTGAGAAAAAGATAAGTTTTGAGTTTTTTTTTTTTTTTTTGCAGAAACAGAGTGTGAACAGTAGCTTTCAGCACGCTTATTGAAGGTAGTTGGCGAATCACTTGATGGGGGAGAGGAGGACGAATCCAAAAATGCTTATTGAAGGAGAAACCTGATAAAGTGAGTTTCGTTCAGACAAATCTGAGGAAGCAAATTAAGTTTTTGCACAAATGGTGAGAGAGAGAGTGAGAAAAGTTTGTCTTGGTTGCATCGTTTTCTAGAAGAAAGTAATTTTAATTATTTATTTCAAAAATAAAATTGTGTGAAGAGATTTGAGTTCATTCCGATATTAGATCATTACTCCAAAAGCTGAGCTACATAAAAAGTTAAAGTGGTGACGAGAAAATCCAAGTGTAACTCCTCTCTTTACCTATTATTATTATCAAATCTATTATGGTATGGGTCTTTTATTTGAATATGAACACGAAAACTAAAGTCTTTTTTGTTTCCTCTTTTCTTTATTAACTTTGGTAATTGGATTATCATTACCATAAAGCGAGAATCATGTGAAGGTCGTTACCTTTAGAGCATGTAATTGGATTATCATTACCGTAAAGTCCTCTCTTTGCTTCTTGTTGTGTATGGACTGAGCAGGGATGAGGGAAAACAAAGTCAAACTACTAAGAGCATCTCCAACCCCAATAATTTACAGTGGGGTTGGAGATGCTCTAAGGCCACTGTTTGAGATCTGGCTGATTTGTTTAGGTTAATAGTTAATACATTATAATTTCACTTGAAGACAAAAGAAACGCTCCTTGGTTTGGTTCTAGGTCAGTTAAGTCGCTTTAGACCTTGAATTTTTTTTTTTTTTTTTTTTTTGGAACACAGCTTTAAGACCTTGAATAGAGAAGGCAAAATCACCAACCAAGTCTTGTCTTTTTTTTTTTTCAACTGTCTTGTCTTGTCTTTGTGATAGATCGTTTTTTTTTGTCTAACGGCTCTTTGAAACCTGGCCCTCATTTTTATAAGAAAAAAATCTTGACGACTCATGAGTCCAATAAGAACAGCTCAACTTAATAAAATTTTATCTTATTTTAAAATTGTGGACGACACTAAAGTATGGACATTCATACAGTCATATAAGATATTGGGCTATGGATGGACTATGAACCATGAGTCCTAATAACCCACGTAGGCTAATCACCTTACATGCTCTAAGTGGGTGAGCTCCACATGGGCCAATAAAAGCAAAATAAAAAAAGAAGAAGAAGCATGAATCATATTTAAAAAGTTACTAGGTGATTTTCCCGTGCTCATGCACGGGTATAAATATTTTTAAATTAAATATATAATAATAATTGATTATTATTTATTTTTAATTTTAAATTAATTTATAATTTGTATGCATCATTTATATTAATAGTATTATATTACTTTAGTTATACTGTAATTTTATATATGTTATATCTAGTCAATTTTGTTGTTTTACAGTTGGTTTAGTTATCATTTGGATAAATTGGATTGCATCTCTGAATTCAATTGTAATATTTTTAAAATATATTAATTTCTAATTAGTTACTTATTTGCATATGGTGGGTGTTGTCTTAGATATGTAAATATATTTTAGGAAAATTATGTATAACTTAAGATATATAGTGCTTAGAATGAATTAAAAATTAACTAAAGTGTCTGATTCCAAAATACATAAATTAATATAACGAAACTATTCTAAAGTCTCATGGATATATATAAAGTTTACAAAAGAACTAAATTGTAAGAGTTGGTTAGTATTTATTTTTATTTGTTAATATGTTTTGAGTAATCATATGATCAATATAAGGTTACATGCATTTATAAATTCTAAATAATTTTATGCTTTAGATTTATTGAATGTAAACTGAAATTTATTTTAAATAATTTTAAATTGAGAATTCAGATTTGCTTTGATATTTTGATTATGGTTATATTTCACAAATATAAAACATAAAATTTAAAACAATTAATATTAATAAAATAAATAATTTTAATAATGATAAAATATCATATATCTAGCTCATTAGAACAATTATTTTGACCAAACGATGTTTATTGTTAAATTTATTTTTAGTTTTTAATATCTCTTAAAAATAAGCACTACACAAAATTGTGATTGTATTTGAAAATAAGATTATATAAGCAAAATATAAGTTCTAGATAATTTTCTGTAATTGAAAGATATTATAGTCAACTAAATATATGAAAAATAAATAAAAATTCAATAATACTAATTATAAACTATTTTGTTACCCTAAAAGTATATTTTATGTTATTTAAAAATATTTTTAAATGTATTATTATTATTTTGTGAACTTTCTTTTTTATGAAATTATATTATATATACATATTTTTATGTTATTTAAAAATATTTTTAAATGTATTATTACAATTTTGTCAACTTTCCTTTCTTATGAAATCATATTATATATACATATATTTTCGTTTTAAATTTGTTTTTATGACTTTATAAAAAATGCATTTTTATTACATATCTTTTTGGAAACTTTTGAAAAGGAAAAACTTAAAATAAAAGAATTAATAATACTATTTTCAACTTTTTTTAATTCATTAAGGGTATGATTAAAAATATTTTTAAATGTATTATTACTATTTTGTGAACTTTCCTTTTTTATGAAATTATATTATATATATACATATTTTTATGTTATTTAAAAATATTTGTAAATGTATTATTACTATTTTGTCAACTTTCCTTTTTTATGAAATTATATTATATATACATATATTTTTGTTTTAAATTTGTTTTTTATGACTTTATAAAAAATGCATTTTTATTAAATATCTTTTTGGAAATTTTTGGAAAGGAAAAACTTAAAATAAAAGAATTAATAATACTATTTTCAACTTTTTTAATTCATTAAGGGTATCAATGTAATCAACCATCGTGAGAATAAACGTGAGAGCGACACATAGGAAACTGACTTCTCAAATAATATTATAGAGATACTTGCTATGTAGGATTTGAATATTACAAAATCGTATACCCACAAAAGGAGCTTCAAGCAGATGTATTAAGAGTTTTTAGGATTTAAGTTCACCAAGATTTAAGAAGCCTTGTAAAAGAAGACATATCTGAGGCTACCACATGTAAAATAGATTCAGCTTCAATGCAAGCATGCCTTACAAGTTTGGGCTTGAATCTTAATACTTGGAATTCTGATGCCTTAACAAGCATGCAATTATTCAAAGGAAGGAAAAATCATGATTCTACACTTTTACGTGGCTTCACTTCTCCATGATCATGCTTCAAATATCATATCAAAGAAACGTACTTCCTTACTCCAAATGCCCAAGTTTTAAGAAAATACAATGCGTACAAATTACAAATTAGAAAGGTTGTCCGAGTGTTTATTATTCACGAGTTATATCTCTACGATCTATTTATATCCCATTTAAAATTTATAGACCTTTTTCTACAAAGTGAAAATGACTCCGATAACTGATTCCGTATGAATATCAGATAAATATTGGCAGCTATATAACCTATACTTCAAAAGATCGTATTTGAAACATAATGGAACTAACCCAGAAAAAGAAAGAAAACAGATTATATAATAATTAAATTCATAGGAAAACTCAGGATTAGTAGCATTTTCTTGTTGAATAAAAGAAAGTCACTGTTTGGTGTCCACATACCAAATATCTGAAATTATTGGCCTACCAACAAAGACCCTGAGGAACAACAATATTCAATCGTATCATATCATGTCAAATTAAACATTACGAATAAATACGTAGGCATGAATTAAAATAATCATACACCGTATGATTGCGTGTGTATATAAAAGGAGCGGCATGGTAACGCACAATTCCCCCTTTCAAGCAACAATATAAGTTACATTTTTAAAAAGAAAGTTTTCCTTTTCTTTCTTCGTAAGAATAGTTTAAGAAACAATAGTATGTTGATTGGCGGCCACAAATGCAGAGAACACCAAGCATGCCGAGGATCACTATCGACGTTACTGATAACCAGACAACCGGCCAAGACTCTGTCGGGGCTATGGCGGTGGTAGACGGCGGAGAAAACTACGACCAGCAGTTCTTGGGGGTGTTGTCGCCAGGAAATCACAGAAGGAACGAGAGAAAAGACATCGGGAAAGCATCGTTGCCATCGACATCTTTTCTTGGAAACTGTGGCTTTTGCAAACGCCGTCTAGCTCCCGGCCGTGATATTTACATGTACAAGTATGTTTACATATTGATTAGCTAGTCCTTTCTTGATTATTTTCCATCTCGTAACTCTATATTTTTAAACCTCAGTTGACTATATACATATATACATCACTACAATCGAAAGAGAGGTTCTTTGATGATGAATTTTTGTTGGTAAAATCTACTAGTTTGCTAAAATAGTCAGTGTCTAAGACAAGTACTAGTATAAGCTACCACGAAACTATTAGATTCTATTTTCTTAACTTCATTTTTTATTGTGCAAATTTGATGATTGATCGCTCCTCTTTTTTCTTTTTGTTATAATGCATCAGTAAGTTATCTTTATAAATTTGTTTGCAATGTAACAAACTGTAGAGGAGATACAGCATTTTGTTGCGTGGAATGCAGAGAACAACAAATTGAGCAGGACGAAGGCAAAACTCCAAACAGAGTCTTTCTATCAACATCAAATATGCATGGCTCAAATTAGCTTTTACTATTAAAGTCTGTGTCTGTAACTTGAGATTGTTGCCGTTACTTTAATTAGCATCGTGTAAAAATTAATTGTCAAAAACTGAAATGAAACTCTTTCATGTCTTGCGTATTATTTTTGTTTCACATTACTTTGCTTCATTTATTTAGTTTAATGATATGCTTTTTAGGTCATGTGTTTTTAAAGAGCTAGTGAAACTTGAAGTAAGCCACCACGAACCTCGTTTCAATATGATCAAATAAATCACAAAACCATATGCAACTCGCGGTAATTAAGATTTCTATTGGACACTTCTATATAAAAATTTCACATCCTTTGCAGTATTATATGGATAGTACATGAAATAATGACAGAACGAATAATTTCTATTGGATATCATGAACTTTCCTATATATATTTGTCAAGTGATCATTGGTAGAAATTTACAAATGATTAAATAGTGGAATACAAATGGAGGTCATTGTCTCGTGACAATCAAAGCGTCTGATAATTAATAATGAGGCTTACAGTAAACTAATGTTAATGCACGTCACTACCGTTCAAAAGATGTATTGAAATTTTTTTTTATACATACTGGAAATAAGTGTTCATTATGTAGACACTTTTAAGCAGATGAATATTAAACATGACATTTATAAAATGGAAAAAAGAAAGTAACTATAGCTCGTTTCCCAATATTTGAAGACCAAAATATGTTATATATCAATGGTTTATGGAAATAGATAAGGATTAGGCTTATAATTGGTCTATAATTTATTTAACTATTTGTACAATTTTTATTTTTCTTCACTTGTCTTCTATACTTCAAACTTCGAGGCTTAGTTGTTGGAGTTTCGGGTGTCATCACAGTTTGTCTTCATTACTAATTACTGATTAATTAAATATCAACAATTATATAATTAGAGGATTTAATAAGATTCATTTGGTATTAGGGTATCTTCAATTAAATTAATCCTTAGTTCAAAATATAATTAAATTATATGTACCATCACTCTCTATTTTCTTGAATAAAAAGAACTTGTTGAGGTCATTGATGATGCTGTGATGGAATGGAAAATTTCTAAACAATTCTTTTAATGGTTATTGAATCAGGAATTGGTCCAACTTAGACACTAGCAAATATGTAACTTCAAAACAGGATTGTCATGAAAAAGACTAAATATGTTTTAAAAATTTTGCTCATTACTTTTTATAGTAATGACATTGGATTTTCTTAATTACAATAAAAATGATAATACAGAACTAAAATTGACAAATTTCATTGGACCGAACCATGATTCTTATCAGAAAATACAAATTGTTTACACATAAGATGAAACAGAATCATAAAGCGATTCTATGAGATTTTGAGCCAACCTAGACACACTTGTACAATATACTATATAACCCATATGGATTACTAGAAATACAAGTTACTTCACACCCAACAAAGATCAAACTAAAAGCTCTTTGATCTCTGAAACAAACAAGCATTCATCATATTTAAAAACATATAATAAAATAAAAAACAAACAAAGGAACATAACAGTCTTTATATTATGACCTCATCAAAGGTTTTAAACGCTTCTTGTTCACTTGTATTCCAAGATCATGTTGTTCTCCGGAGCCAGCCCAACGCACGCCCTAAGAATGTTCTCCAGCATGGCCCGCTGCTTCGACAGCGCATTAACCACCGGTGTTCCCGGCGGCACGAGCGGTGCCTTGCTGAGGTAGCTGAGTATGGTGGCCACTGGATGGAAAGAATGAAACTTCCCCTGCCAACAAAAAGATCAAAACATCAAACCACGGTTCAGTGAAATCCCAAATATAACTGGTTTTGTGAACCAACGAACCTCTGCCTCGGATTTGAACTGAATCCTGGTGCTGAGTTCAGCGAGGAGAACAAGATCCAAGATGATTGGAGCAGCTAAGAGAGAGTCCTCGCAGGTATTGTGCATCACAATTGTGTTCTTGCCTCCCATAAATATCTCTGATGTATACTCATCCATGGCTCGCTTGCTATCTGCAACATATGGCACATACTGCAACACGCACAAACACAAAATGGATCAATAGGCACTGCATTCTAGAAAAATAAAAAAGGTTTTGAGTGTTTCTTAAAGTAGTTTATAACCTACCTTGATGACAACTACATGGTCAGGGTGTTCACCGGGCCCGAAGAGGATACCATTGCTGGCAACCATATCGTCAACCACATTACTTTTGGAGATCTCCTTAGATCTGAACGTCTGTGGAGCTGAGAGGTTCATTCCGTCATTGTTTCCTAGGTGATTGTAGCTCACAATTGAAGTAGGCTGTAAACATGACAAAAACACACATAGTCAATTTTTATAGGTATCTTCACTAGTTACGTGACATGCAAGTTAAAAACAAACCTTGATTCCAGCACCAACAAGGAAATCAACCAAGACAGATTTCATCTTGGTTTGACCACTCTTGAAGTCATCTCCACCGATCAAAACATTGTTCTTGATAGCCAAATCGATAAGACCTGGAACAAAGGTGTTCTGAGGACTTCCATTGATGAAGGGGATGCCTTCAAGAACACATGCAATGGCATAAAGCGTGGAAGGAGAGATCTCAGACTCATCCCTCTCCACAGACTTCATAAGATTCTCCATTGTGTCGTTTAGCCCCACGATCACATTGCTGTAACGCTCTGTGTTAGCCGTCCACAGAACCACAACCTTATCCACCTTGTTCTTCTCCTTAAACTCCCTAACATCACACAAAAAAAAATCAACAAAACAGAGGAGATTCAACTCTGTTTAAATCATCATCACAACAAGGATTGATGAATAATACCTCATGTCCTTGATGATTTGGTCGACTTGTTCCTTCTTGGTACCTTTGATGACGTTGTTGGCACGTGAGCCTTGATTAGCAGCGATGAAATCAGGGTCATAGACCCCAGGGAGTGGCACAATGCTCTCCATGTAAGGCCTAAGCTGCTTCTGCAAATCGATATCAAGAACCTTGGCTCTCCCCATGGCGTCTGCTAAATTCATATCACTTATGTCCCATCCTCCAAACACAACCTCATCCGGATTCACCTTTTCACAACAATCTCCATGTTAAACACAATAAAATTTATAAAAGATTTTGTTTTAAAATAAAAAACAGACCATTGGAACGAGACTCTTGAAAGGAGCATAGATCTCTTCACCGTTGAAGGATCCGACACGAATTGATGATGCTTGTGTTAACGACCCGAAGTAGTTAGCTTGTTGCACCTTGTCCTTGGTCGCCCACGAGATTCCTCTGTTTACATTTTATGCTTCGGATCAGATCTTAAAAAAAAAAAACATTTTTCATGGATTCGAACATAAAAGACTCACTCTTTATTGGCAATTACACCAGCGGTGAGGGTTGATCCATTGTTTCCTCCCCAACCCACAAGCATCACCCTTTTCAAAAAGAAAATAAAACAAAAAATGTTGAAACTTTGCGACGGAGAAATCGAGGAAACGAAGGAAAGATGGAAGCACTTTGTTATTTACCCTAATTTGGGGACACGAGTATCGGTTTTGAAATCGTATTTGACAACCTTGGGCTTCACGATCCATTGGTAAGCACCGTTAACGTTCTCATGAACCACCTCCGTCGTCTCGTAATCGTACACAGATTGAATCTCATTCTCTGTGTATTTCACGTTCGGGCTCTCAACTTTGAAGCTCTCGATAAACATTTTTTTTTTCTCCGAGAAAATTTTGAGACTCTGTTTTCTTGGTTTTGAATGATGGGATTTGTGTGGGTTTGAGCTTCTCTTACGTGAAGCTATTTATAGAAAAGAGCGCGAGGAGGATAGACACGTGGCGATATTACAGTGGTTGGTGGACCCTCTTTGGCCAATGCATGTGAGAGAGCTCGTTGATGGTTAATAGTGAAATAAAATGACACCTCGGATCCCTGGACCATACACGTGGCGTCGTTTTGCCAATAACGTTTTCTTGTCGGACGGACCCACAGTTTCTGTTGAAGGTGCTCGAACAAGGTGGGGACGTTGGTTACTTCCGTTACTTAATCAGTAAAACGACTGTGTTTTTGTCGTTGATTGGACGTTATCTCCGTTACAGTTAATATACGTTACTCGTTTAAGAGAAAAACGATAGTGAGTTGGGTCCCCTGGAATCTTGTTGACTTGTTTTGACACGTGAACTATGAATCCACTAGCGGACATATGTCTCAACATTTATAATTACTTTTTTTCATAGTAATTAACGTTTAATGTTTTTAATCCTTTCATTAATTGACTACTATTCAAAAATTTAAAAATCTATTAATAAAATTTTCCGATGAATTCGAGGTATCCTTAATTGATTAATTATGACTGGGTAATGTACCACAAATCAATTGAGACTAACCAGTTTGTAAAATATATATATATTTATATATAACTAAACATATCATCATATTATATGTTTTTTTTTTGACAAAGGCTTAATTATATGTTATTTTCACATATAAATGGGATGAATGCATACTATACTTTCATTTCAAAATTTTGTAAATGATGTAATTTATTATATGAAATATAGGAAACCCCGTTAGTGTAATGTTTTATAAATTATAGGCTAAGATCAAACGTGTGAATTTGACTCGCGTACCACATATACATTGCAGCAATGGCGTCATATGCTAAAATTTTATGTTACTTTTTGCAAAAATGTGAATTATCATATAGTATTAATTTTAGTGAAACTAGATAAAAGATATGATGCTCTTGTCGACATAAGAAGATATAAATACTGAATCTAATTTAGTTTTAGTTTATGGAGGATGAAGAAAGTATACAAAGGTGTTTTGGACATGTATCGTTTTAATGGGTTTGTAAAAGTTTGATAGGTATGGTTGTGGTCATACGTACGTTTGTAATTTAATAAATTGTCTGCCTTCCTAAAACATTTTGTCTATATTTTTTCACGCCACATATTTATTTTTATTAAACTTTCTTATTTTTTCATTCTTAAATCTTTTTATATAAAAGATGTTGATGTATGCAGTATGCAGGAAGTTTCTCGTACTATGTACAAACCATACAATAATTTTGTTGTGTATGCTTAACTCATACAAAAAGTATTACTTTGTCAAAAAAAACCTAGAATACTATATTTACGCATGTAGTATCATTCCAAAGTGTATTGAACTTTAAGTTTGAGGAGGAATTTATTCAAAACCAATATTATAACGAAAAAGTTAAGAAACTACCGGATATTCTAATTTGATTTGTGTGTATCTTTCAGTGATCTGATTTGATGTTTATAATACTTAGCTATAAGAGTTTTACTAAAATACGAAATTAATTTGTAGACATTTACGATTCTCTTGTTGCTATAGAAAGAAATCTATCAACAAAAGTTGAACGGTCATAGTGACTAAGAAAAGTATTAGAAAGACACATACTACTTTAAAGAAAATATTAGTCTTCTAATCATTTTTTTTTATTTGTTGAATTTTGTTTAACATTGAAAGCTAGATATGGGCACAACTTTAATATCCAATTTTTTGGAGATATTCGTGATCTGATTTGTCAATAATTTAATTCGATCTGATTTATAATTATCCAAATAATTGGTGTCTGGATATCCGATCTTTTGAATATTTTTTAATCTGATATCTGAATCCGTTCGTACAAAAAAATCCGTTCGTTAACGGATAACGCATCGATTTTAAATTTAAGAATGGTTTACCAAGTCCTGAAAATGGGCAATCTGTTATTAAATTTGTCGGCCGTGGATTTAATTTTTTTTTGGTCGACATCCATATTTTAAAATTAAATGATAGGCAAGTTTGAATTGTTCTAAAAATTTATCATGTTTAGCTAGTCTACATGAGGAAAGAGAACATCACTGTTTTTCCTCTCTTTGGTGACGTTTTTGTAAATTACTATTTGTTTTTTCGTATAGTTACAAAGATCTTTTTGTGTTAACCGAAACAAATAACGCATCGATTTAAAATTTAAGGATGGTTTACCAAGTCCTGAAAATGAGCAATCTGTTTTTAAATTCGTCACCTTTGGGTTTAATTTTATTTTTTGTCGACATCCATATTTTAAAATTAAATGATAAGCAAGTTTGAATTGTTCTAAAAATTTATTATGTTTTGCTTAGGTTTGGTCTACATGAAAAAAGAGAACATCACCGTTTCTCGCCTCTTTGGCATACGCTCTTGGGTTCAATTAGGCATGACGGATTGATAATTGAAATAATTAACATTTGTGGGAGGTATTCTACAACGATCCATATATACAGATGGAGGTTAAATACTCATAGCAGTAGCATGTGATGTGAATCAGAATATTAATAGTTTTATATAAGTTTTTTGGCAGTATAGTTAATGAAGGTAAACACATACTCCCTCCGTTTTATATTAAGTGTCGTTGTAGAGAATTTTTTGTGTTACAAAATAAGTGTCGTTTTCGGTTTTCAATGTAAAATTTATTAATTTTATTATGTAATTTGTTTTTCTATTGGTTAAAATATGGTTAGGTGTATGGGTAATTGTGTTTTTATATAGGAAATATGTAAAATTAATTGTTTCCTTAATCCGTGTGCATAGCTGTAGAGTGACACTTATAT